TGTACTATACTGTTATGTAATGTTTATTCACACATGATTGCCTGCACAGCCATGCCAAAAATAAGTAGGGGCTTAGGAACGAGGAAAAAAATTGAAGCTAAAATTAGGAAATTCTTCAAATAGCGAGAACGTAATACTGTTGAACATACGAGGGCATTGGCAAATATGCGTGGAGGCCCTTTCTAAGTCAGCTAATGCTCCATTGCAAATCAGACTAGGCTGCATTCAAACGTAATAGGAAGCTTTGTTTTGTGTGGCTGAGCTCAGGGTTTGTTTGTCTGTCCGGATAGTGTAGGTTGACAGCACGTGGGTGGGGCAGATTGACAGGCAGAATTAATTACAGGTGGCTAGAAGTTGAGACACAGGAAATGGGGTGAAAGTGAAGATTATAAAATCCCACAAAGTATACGTAACGTTACTTACCAGAAGTCTGAAACCTCGGATTCCTTGTTTATTTCTGTAGTTCCTAACAAGTGAACTTCTCCGTATGAGAATTCACCCATATGGATACAATGTAAAATCTAATCTTTTTTTTTATTACAAACGCACACGGTCAGAGCAAATTGCCGTCTCCGGACATTACACACAAGACGAGAATTCTCTTCCGCGCTTTTATAACGTTAAGCCCAGAGCACCGCCGCATCAATCACTAAGTAATCGCGTTATCCAAAGGAAGAACCTCTCCGTTAAACCGATTATCTGTTTGGTACATCCCAATTAGAAGCTGTAAGAGCTGAGCGCATGAACGAGGGAACATCGTCAATCGCAGGATTACGTGGATAATGTGTCCCTTGTCGTCCTTCAACTACACGTGAAAATAATGTTTCTGACACAAAAGGCGAACGTAAAAGGCAAATATTTAACGGCTAGTAACTGGAGAAATCACAAAGGATATATGAAAGGTAATGGTTGCAAGAAGATCGTTTTAGTATGCCGAGGACGTGTACAAAATGCATTTAGGGGAGGGGGTGTGTGAGAAGATAAAGTAACTTTAGTGATCAATTTACGCAGAGAATTCGAATTCCTGGAAAAAAGAGATGTCCGCGTTTGTCGTCAGAGGTCAGACCGCCTACACGGACACTTACCCTCTATTTAGTTTTATAAATAGTTCATGAGGAACCAATTTCCTGTCCTGAATAACCCGTGATGCGGTATTGCGGTAAATTTTTGCCGGTGTATATTGTATTGCCCAAGAAACCAGGAGCTAGCCCGTGCAGGCTTTGGAAACATTTTGGCATACAGGCTATCGTTTGTGGTGATCGATCATGTCAAACATGTTTGTACAAACGAAAGTACAAATTTCACTGCCAGTGTACAGTAGTATCGTCTACAGTACGCAGTCTAAGTATTGTTTTGATTCATGATACCGTCAGCCAAATTAACAAAGTGGTACAAGAAAGACTAGCAGATCTTCAGAGTTAACAGCATTGAAATGGACAACATGTTGCTGAAAACCCTCTCTCTTAGTCACGCACGAACGCCAGTGCAACAGCCTTCCCGGTTTTTATTTGCATTAGTTCCACAGACTGGCTCCACGCGTGTGGTATGGCCCTGTATTAATGGAACGTGTAACGACGGTCATACATGAGAGAGGAGGTCGGTAGGAAGCTTTTAGTTCCAGATTATGATCGGGCCATTATGTTCACTGTTTCCAGCAGAACAGCCACGCGTTCAGCACTAAGGACAGGTCCATCGAACAACTCAAACTTGTGCTCGTAAAACATGCACACGCACTTATCCTGGTGAGTTGGTATTCCAACCATGCCCGTACTATGTACTTGGACCTTATCAGCAAAACAAATGATACAGGGGACGATTGCGTGAGACACTTCAGCACGATTTTCCAGCGTAACTAGCGCCGATAATCCAATTTCCAGACGGTATAATCTAAGGAAATCTTGGTGCGCGAGTCCTATTAGTTCACAATGACCGCATACGTCTTGTCCTAAATTGATCGAGTGATCCGTTTAGCGCTATGCAGCTGTACTAGGACTGATGTATTGTGCCATTCAATTCAGCCTGGTCGCTAAGGACGTACTAATGCCTAGGTTTGGACAAGAGCCAGGGGAATAAAAGACCTGTTTGCAGAGGTGGGGTCATCACAGTACGCCTAAATGTCTGTGACGTATGATCAGAGGGTAGAAAAAGTATCGGATTACGTCTGTCGGAAGGAGATAGTCTGGATGGGAATGATGGAGAGTTGGGAGATGGTGTAGTATCAACAGGACGATCGGCAGGGTATCAAGGAAAATTGCATTGCAGAAGGAAACCATTTCATTGAGCCCGCCCTGGCGAAAGGAGATACAGGCTTAGTCTCAAAACTCTACTTTGTTTTGAATAAAAAAATACTACCTCAGTGGTACATATGATATAGTAAGACTGTAAAGCTTTTTGTTTCAGTAGGGCTCCTGTCGTTTTTGGTCGCTCCCTCGCGTTGGTATTCTCTTCATGCTCGTGATTAAAAATCTAAATATAGCTGACATTTTGCCAAGGAGAGTGGCGCAATGCGTGCGTTTTCCTACAACGCTCGGCTTTACACGTCCGCCATACTTGAACAGATTGATGAAATTACCGGTGATTATAACGAACAGGAAGCGCTCTGGGGGGGGGGGTGTACTTTGCATGGCATACCCGGTAAAACGTGTCTGGGTCCGGCGCCAAGTGTGATCTTCTTGTGTGACCTCCGGATACGAAGTTACTGTTTTGGGTGGATTGGTCTGTGGGATTGTGTGTATGTTTTTCTGCAACAGAGACGGTTGCAGGAAGAGTTGGTTGATACTTGTTTACAGCTAATTGGCAGGAAGGTCAAGCATGTTCAAACTCTGAGCAAACATTCAAATGACATACAGACATACAGATGGGCATGTAGAACCGGGAATTCAGCACCAGGGACAGGTCCACCGAACAAAACAACTATATGAAATGGGCCGTTAGTATGGTCATATTATTAACACAAACAAACAAACAAACACACACAAACACACACAAACACACACACACACACACACACACACACACACACACACACACACACACACACACACACACACACACACACACACACACACCTTCATTTATACGTGTTAAGAATAGGACTATCATCAAGATATTAAGATTTTATGTTGTTCCCTGGTATCCTACACCAGTAACGTGAGACTTCAGCAGAGTTTTCCAGCATGACGGACGCCAGTAATTCAATTTCCGGACGGCGCGACCTCCAGTAGTACCAGTACAAATTATGCGCAGGGCCCATTCATTCTACAGGCACCTAATAACCCACAGATTGGATCAGCGATGATCGGGTATCCTGGTACTGATCTATTCTGCCATTTTATCCAACCCTCTCCTGCCATTGGCAATCCGCAAAAGGTCAGGACACTGTAATCTAGCCGCAGGTGTGCAGTCTTTAGATTGCGTCTGGCGTTTGAAAAAAAGGTTAACTGATGTCGTGGGACACTTCTGCTAAAACTCAACATAAAGGAAACTGGTGTAAGGGAGCGGTGTTTAAAGAAAGCTCCAGAGGATATCAATGAAAATTGCTTCGAAATGAGAGCCATTACATTCAACTTACAAATAGTGAAAGATACAGCGGTCGTCTCAAAAGATGTTTGTTGTTCTTAAACGAATCCCATTCTTTGTAATGCTGTAGAAAAATTCCTATTAGGTGTCACAATGTACTTTGACGCCCATCCCCATACTGAGCTGATATTGACTTAATTGTCATGATTTCCAAGATGTAAACATAGCTTACATGTTATTAGAAAGGTAATGCCAACGTTCATTTTACCACGTCCGCCATATAACATCACATTAAGCTTGTATTACCTGTAATTTGGGTAATAAGTAAGGGAACACTTGTTGGGATGTGTTGTGCCAGGAAATGTGCTTTGATAGTCTGCTCTTATGGCGCCACTCAAATCCTACGGCAATGACCTTATCGTGGCAAGTCATTGCATTGAGGATATTCAGACTGGGTTAGCACTTTTTACTGCGTTTTGTCTTACAAATTCTGATTAATTCGGATAAAATCACATTAAGCTATGATACATGTTTCGTTATTGTACAAAACGTAATAGAATCTTAATACTGATGATGATTTAGACTTTTCATATTTGCCGTTGACAAATGTCACATTAGGGTACCAATGCTTGTTAATGTAGAGAAAGAACTACTTAAAGACTTGGCTAGTGTGTTTATTGTTTTGTTTATTTACAATACATATATTTGTGGATTGCAATTCACAGTTGCTACCATAGGGGCACACACAAGTATAATGCCGGATTATACTGGGTCATAAGTATACAGACTACACCACGGGGCTGCAGATGTGCAAACTAGATACACTCGAGAAGAGACGGGCGGTCCTCTGCACCAAGTTTGCACACAGCATGACAACATCGGAGCGCACAGCAGACCTCCTCCCCAACACACGACGACAGGATCACGGCAGGAACCTCAGAAACTCTGACAAAATGACTCTTGCGCCTTGCCGCACTGCTCGATTTCAAAACAGCCCTGTACCATCTGCTTAACAAATAATACGTTGTAAATCGACCACACGCAGATGTATAGTTATTGTAACATTTTATTTTAATCAATATTTTAATACTTGGTGATATTTTATGCTACTAGTATTCGTCATATTGAGTTGTATACTAATAAGTGAGGCGTACTTTCATGTATTATGTGAATTATGTGAGTGAAACGTATTTCAGCCTGACGGCTGCGATGTTTTACATAATAAACCAGTCATTCATTCACACAATGCAATTCAATCCACAAGAAATATTCCAAATAGCTGGGTGCAAAGTAAGACTGGACATGAGTGTTGTAGATAGGGGGTATGTAGGGGTTATAATTAGATTGCCTCATTCACATTGTATAGTACGAATCGATAAGCTTGAGCCGCTATAATCGAACATACACAGTCCATTAAACACTACCTAGACATAAAAGCTAAGATCCTTTAGGCACACTTCGCTCGTGCCAAAGTTATCTCTCTACCTCACCAGCCCGTCAGGCAGAGTAGTGAACATTATCACAGTGACGGTGCCGTACACTACAAATATCACCACCATCAGGACTTTGTCCAGCTGTAGCGCCAAGGCCCGCCACTGGTCACGAAGACTCTCCTGTTCCTCGTTGTTGTCTGCCGTAGTCTTTATAGCCTGGAAAAGGAAAAAAAAGGTATACATGTTACAAGATGTCAGGGTTGTGAATGGCATGATTTAGAGTCTTTACGCTGATGCTTTGTGTTCAGTCCCTTCAAACTGTTTTTCTTCTACTACAGATCATCCCTTTGGCAAGATGGTTTTACTTGTTCTGTTGATGAGTTTCCAGAAAACTGTGTTATGCATCTGCAATCACAATCACACAACTGAAAAACACAGTATCAACCAAAAATATATCATAGCCTATCTTACCGGCCCACATAAAAACAAACAGACAAACAAACAAACAAACAAACAGTTTTACCTGTAAGTTTCTAGCGATGTTTGCCAGGAAGCTTCCCCCGCTGTGTTCTGGTAATGGTTTCTTCTCCTCTCCGGTTTCGTAGTCTAATTTCTCGTTCCCAGGGTAAGAACATGACGACACCGGTCTGCTGGTGGACTCGCCATCTGATTGGTCCAGATGGTCACATGATGAGGAGTCCGGGGAGGGAACGACTCTGTTTTTCTTACCACAACGCCGCTCCCAGATCCTGTACCTGCAAGTTTAAGAACAAACCGTGCATAAACAAGAAAGTAAGAAGTAAGAGGGTGTAGGTGACACCTACCAGACTGTAAGATTGATTATATATATTATACTAAACAATGATTATCGTAACTTTTACCCTTTGAAGAGCAGACAGAGCTTTTGACCTATGATTGACCAATTTTGGACCGAAATAGGCATTTTCACGACCACATTGCATGCTGGGTGACACGGGGCATTATGGGTCTCTATTACGAGAACTGGCAAACAATGGCAACGAGTATGTGATGCACGTGTAAAGGGCATGCCTACCCTGGGAGGAAAAGCAGCGTCTTGAGCCATGGCGGTGGTTTCTTCAGGTTGACTTCGTGGAAGTGGAACATGATGCCAAAGGACGAGAAGGACACGGAGATGGCGACGATCAGAATGGTGGCGCCAAAGAACTGACCTGAAACAAACAAACTGTGAATGGAATGTCCTAAAGAATATACATACAAGTACATTGTGGCACTTTACTAAACGTATAAGTATACTTAATTTAAAGAGTTGTCCACCGTGCCATCTCAACTGGTATAGTACATGGTTGTCCGCATCCCTGTTTCTTTTTCACAACTGTAAGGTCGAGACAACTGTAAGGTCGAGACGTTTTCTATTTTGATATGAAAGTGCCTTAAGAGGGCCGCGTGTCTTGATGACTGATTTTCTGTCTGCCTTTTTTACGACACAGTCATGTGACATGTTCGTCGTAGCGATCGTCGTACGATTTTGCTGCCATCGACAAGGTTCTAAGACAGTATTGTCAGTAACAAGAGAGTGGCATTTTGCAGGACACATGCACAGCTATCCCGTCATTTTGCGATCGTACAAAATGTGTTCCAACATGGTTGTGGACACATTTTGCGATCGCAAAACGATCGTACGACGGTCGCACGACGTATTTGCCAGGCCCAGGCCCTTCACTAAAGGTACTAGTACTTACTTGCATACGGTATGGACCGTGAGGTGATGGGCAGACCCTGGTTGACAGCCTGTATGAAGAACACCAGCGCCAGTAACATGTTGACGCCCAGGGACAGCTTCTCTCCGCACCCTGCCGGCACCCACGTACCGAACAGACTGGAACAAGACATTGGAGATAGATTTCATACTTCCGGGAGGTAGATATGTCATATATATTGGAAGGATTATTACCTATACGATCGTATGACGTAACGTTCTCCGCTATTACACCATGGTATATGTTTTTATACCATGATTACACATTACACATTTCTGGCGACCTCAGTCTACGACACAGGGCATACCGGATTACAACACTGATGTCAATCAACTGAAACTTAGTCTCCATCCACCCACCCGCTCACTTCCACACGCGTGTACATGTATGGCTTAACTTGCTCTTCTCAGCTCCACAAATGTGTTGGGTTCTTTAACGTGAAGCTAAGTACAGCGGTAGTCGGGATAACATTTCACACACACACACAAAAAAAAATTCAGAAATTTAAAACAAACTTTCACTTTAGGCCAAGTAGAGCACACTAAACAGCTTCTTACCTGACGAACAGCATGAGGATACATGGTGCGATGACGTTCATGTTGTAGAAAAGTGTTTTCCTCCTGAGGTTAGCCCGGAAGGTCAGACTGGGGTACGGCTCGGGGCAGCAGTCGTACACGTACACAGAGCGGGTCACCTACAGGAGACAGGTGTAGTTGAGTTAACTGCAGGATCAGCCTCATAGTATAGGTTGCGCTGCTATGGGAAATATGCGATTCCAAACGTGACTTATTATAAGCGTGCCCCCCCCCCAGCCCTCCACCCCTCATGACATGACGAGTCTTACCTCGAAGCTCACCAGATCCCATTCCTCATTTCTCTTGTAGCTGCTGGTATCTCCAGATGATGACCTATAACAAATGAAAAAAACAAACAAACAAATAAGCAACAAACACAGCTCTAGTATTGTATAAAACTGTTTTGTCTAGTATTGTATAAAATTGTCTTCAAAGAACCCATTTCATTATGACATTAGATCAGTGGTTTGGCTCTCGAATATATAAGTCTATATATATATATAGCTACAAGTCAATATCCTGACAGTTTATCATTAATGTAAAACTAAAACTAATCTTACCGTCAAAATACAATAGAGGGCGTTTGTGAAGATACATGACTCTTTTCCTAAACGTTTCTTACTAATTCATGTTGTATCTCTGGATCTAATTTCGTTCTACCTTATGGCATAACAGACGATATTGGGCTATTGTATAATTTACTAATTGGGTCCTCAAGAAAAACGTTAATTTTGCACACAAAAAACATGTCTGCATGTCTGTTTCAACCCACCTGTTAAAAAGATCAATTTTGAGGCCGTCAAACGACCAGGATCCGAACTGCAGCGAGCATGTCTGTTCGTCGTACGGGAAGTACGTCACATCTAGGGAGCAGGTCGTCCGGGTGGTGACCGGAAATAGCCATGACACGCTTCCGTCCGAGTAGATCGTGGCGAACGAGTCCTCGAAGTTGTTCCCATAAGGCAGGATACTGCAAGGGAAAATATATGGATCTATCGCATAAAGAATCACGACTATCTAGCTCTACGTATACGCCTGAATTGGTTGGCTTAAGATCAGGCGATTCTGCATAATCGTCGAGTATCAAAGAACGTAGATTTGCCCCTGGAACGGTTTTGGATACGCGTGGACTTTCCGGACTGAGGTTGGTTCTGGACAAATCGCAGTTCTGAATACAAAGTACAGGTCTTGTAGATGATCTTAGACAACATATCGGATCAGGAAGAAAATGATCAATGGCTGAATGCTGTGAAGACTGTTACCTGTACATGTAATGTCCCTGTGTGTTGTGTATATAGAAACCAGCCCACCCACCTGTTATACGGCAGGATGTCCGGACGCCAGATCTTCTGGCTGCTGATCCTGATGACTGGCGTGTCGCCCCACTCAGACGAGTTCCACCGAAGGGTCTCGTCAGTCCAGTACTGGGGATTCAAAACGACTCGTTTTGAAAACGTAGTCTTGAGCTATCGCGGATTACTCGCGAACGCTGAAGCCCATTTCGCACACTTATACCGTATATATTTTAAGCAAAGTCACTATTAAAACATTCTAGTGAATGGACAGATCCATTATGCATTTACAATGATGAAGGCGTTGAGCAATCCAACGGTAATATGTAATCTTGTACCACTTGCAATGCACGCTGTCGTGATGATTACACTCGCTAGAGGTCGCTATACCACTGCCTTGGCCGCATTTAAAAAACATTCGATTTGCGTTTCGTGACTGACTGTATCGTTACCCAAAACAAATATCCAAAAGCAATATGATAGGTGTAAACAACATACAGACTCTGTAAACTCACCATTCGGATCCACAAGTTGGTGTCAAACGTTTGCTTCATCGCATCCTTTAAAGAACAAATAGCAAAACAAAAACGATTGAAACAACGAACATGTGATGTCAACTCATCTTGTTAACATGAAGTATTATAGTATTGACTGTAAGAAGTCTGTATAGAACCCACATGTAGATACCATAGGTATGTCATATAGGATTGTGAACTAGCTTGAAACCACGGTATAAACTATAATATATTAGTGTATACTGTAATTTAACTACTGAACCGCTTGGGAGAATGTAGAAAATCTATATAGCTCGATAACTGGCGTATGCCTTGACTGTGTTCTTGCCGCATTTCACACACCTGCTATACTGCACATACTGTTTGATAGATTGAATGTGAAAAGGAACTGGATACTTACAATGCTGACGATTTTAGCCAGAGCCACGTCTAACGTGACGTTGACAGCGTGGTTATGGTCAAGAACCGGCCTCGGTTCCACGTTATAATCTGTCGTCAGGTATGTCATCAGGTTAGCTTCCCAGGAGAAACCTGTGGGAACATAAACGCGCAGTTTTCTATACAAGTAGCTGGTGTGTTACGCCGAAAGGCGGTTATACCGGCTATACAGATACAGATACAGAAGATCTCACACTAAGTTATTATACTTTTAGTCGGTAGAAATGGGTGAGGAGGAGGAAATGGGGTTGAGTTCCACACTGTTTAACTCAAGCTCTCTTGATTCAGCTTATAAGATGGGGGAAAGAAAAGACAAGCCATCCACTGGGTTCCTTTCTCACGCAGTAGCCGCTAAATCAATTTAGTCGGTAGAAAGAAATGGGGGAGGGAGGGGGTATGAGGACTGAAAACACGAGGAAGTTTTGGTTGGGAATAAAACACTTTGATGCGCAATCATTTACCAACTGGATGAAGTTACTTACATACGGACAAGGAAGAGCTCTTTTCATTCTCTGTTAATTCGAAATGATTAGTTTTACCAGTTTGAAATGGTTTAATATTTTTACAGGAAAGCCATTCGGATGGACTAGAAATGGGACAGCTTTTTAGCTTTTTCAAGACAAAGACAACGTACTGTGCTATCTGGTTATCGTGTATTTTCTGATTCCAACAACAACATATCTTAGAACACGTCTTCAAAATCATTCGTATCTGAGGCGTTATGTATGACCAAACAGACACCGTTTTGACTCGCTAAACTCCAAGTTTCACGCAGGTAAAACCAACAGAGAAAGGGTCTCCCCTGTACGTGTATACAACGTTACGCCATGTTGAGCGAAGCGACGCTGAAAGATGTCGTTCTGTTACAGTGCACACACAGGAAAGGCGATAGCAGTCACAGATATATCTGGAAACCACTTTAAAACACCTTGGCTAGAGTGTTTTGGCAACAAAACTTACCTTGTACGCCTGTGGCAAGAACAAGAAGGACGAACGCGCGAGGTTCCATGGTGTTTAGCTCATTCACTCTTGATTCAGCTTATAAGATGGTGCAAAGGAAGCGACAAGCCATCCACTGGGTTTCTTTCTCACGCAACAGCCCCTGTAATCTACACCGGATGGCTGAATACAGTCCCAGTTGGAGCGTAGGTGTGGAGTTGTTGAATAATAGCTGACGCCTCAAATTGTGACAGCTCTGGCCACTTCCTTTGTACAGACGTATATCTATCCTTCCGGCGAAGGTGCTGTGTCATTAGTGTGTACATTCGTCATGTTTTGAACCGGGTGAAAGTTGCGATCGTTTCCTAATGTTTGAGTGGTGATGGGACAATGCAAGTAATTACGTTCATAACTACGCAAACAGTACTCCAACTGGAACAAGAGGGTATAAGGTTTTCTTTAGCATGCAAACGACATTAGATCGACATCTAGGAAGGTTAAATCGCTGTCTAATGTTTATAAAACATGTCAAAGGTTGCAAGTTGCTGCTATCCTTATTGTTCGAATGAAAGTAAGATCTAGGATTCCTGGTGACCCTGAACCCAGTTTGTTAAGTCTTGAAATAGCATATCTTTAATGACGTAAATGTAGGAGTGGTCGCTTCTTCTGTTTCATGATAAAAGAGGTGTGGTATCTATTGTACTACCTCTATAACGTTATATATATAAGGGCCAGATCACATCCATCGTACAATATTCGTAAACTGAAGGCAATCCTGTGGCAGTCGTGGGGGTGTTCAAGCTTCAACTGTCTTACTCCTATACAAGAGAGGCTGCCTTAGCATCCTTGTGTCGGCGACCTGTATGACGAATGTGACCTCGAACATCGGGAACTACTGGTCCTCTCAATCAGAACCGTAAGGAATGTGAGTACCACTGTTTTTTGTTCTTCAAAGCTGAACTCAGCCATTATACAATTTTAATTAAAAGTGCAATAACTGATATACGTCAAGAAACATTTCGTATAAATTCTTTCACAGATTCAGACTTTTTTGTAAATCTTTATTTATTGGAAACAAGCTATTAAGATCAGAAAAGAGTTGACATTTGACATGATCAAAATGAAATTTAGATAGCAGCTAATACAATCAAAATACAATGAGAAAAATAGTTTTTGGGATGATAATGGTTACCATTCCCATCAGAACGCCAGCATCATGTCACTGGGCACTATAAAAGTCATACTATTTACAATGTAACATAATCCTTTCATCGTGACCGTTTTTTCATTTTCTATCTTTTACTTAATTTTTTTAGAGTAAATAACAACATGACAGGAGAATGCATATGCATGCGGTTCAATCTGGCATAGGGCTGCAGACTAAATACGTAATATATACATAATACAGCCATTCTAAGTCATATGTATGCTGTATACTGACATTATAACTAGACACTTGAACACATCATGTATACAATACGTATACAGCGACAAAAAGCGTTTAAGATAATACCAAACACTTCAACTTCAACTATCAACATTTTTGTCATACACAGAAACGCAATAACAATGTTCGAAAAAATACCTTCCTAGAAGGCGAGCTACCTCTAGTTTACAAATCTTTTGCAAAAGATTCTCTATTTTGACATTTTTCACATATTTACAAATCATGATGCGGTTTGCACCATTCAAGTACGGGATCTTACGAAGCAGCATTTATGGTGTCTAACCCAACATTCTTGGCATCTAACCCAGAATATAAATGTACAGTTCCGGAGTCTAACCCAAGCAAGAACTACTTGTAGACTAGAATGTGTACTGGAGACCAAAAATATACTAGCAAACAGTCTCAGTTTCTAACCCATTTAGAGTCTAACACAGCAGTCGACTTGTCCTGGCGTCTAAACCTAAAGTTCTAACGTCTATCCCAACTGTCTGTGTGTCTGTGTCTAACCCAAAAGTCCCAGCGTAACCAACAGTCCATGATTTGTTTTACTAATTGATGGGATCCACAATTTACAAACAGTTCCAGTGCCAAACCCAAAACTCCCAGCGTCTAACCCAAAATGTACATTGCCGGCGTCTAACTCAACTGTCCAGGCATCTAACCCAACAATCCCGGCGCCTAACACAGCAATATAACAGTCCCCGCGTCTAACTCAACTGTCCAGGCGCCTAGCCTAACCCAACAGTCCCTGTGCCTAGCCCAACCATCCCGGCGCCTAACGCAGCAGCCCTGGCGGCAGGGACAGGAACATGGAGGCGGACACAATGAGGTACACCAGCAGGATGGACACCATCAGCACCCTGTCCAGCTGGGCGGACAGGAACCTCCACTCCTCCTGAAGACTCTCCTGAGCCTGGTTCTCATCAGCTGTGTCCTTAATGGCCTGAATGGGCATTAACAAAGACAATCAATTAATCAATCAACCAACCAATCGATCAATCAATCAATCAAAAGTTTTTACCCAGCGATTGCTAGGAGAACAGTAAGTTCATACCAAGGACGTATTATCACTATTGTCGAAGCTCCTTGTTCATACTAATCGTACCTGAAGACATGTCATAATACCTTTTTGCCAGAACGTTACATTGATAGGGTGACAACCATTAATTTTGGTGTGTTGATAGCTTTTGAAAAAAAATGAACGTACTAGATAAACAATAAAAACAATACAAAACAAGATATCGAAGATGACACCATGATTCCATAGGCATTGTCATCCACAACAGCGTTTTCTCACCTGCAAGTTCTTGTCAATCTTGGACATGTGAGTCATCACGTGACCGGCCATGAAGGATTTTCGGTCCGCTGTCAGCTGTGAGGGGAAAAGAATGTTTCAATACAGCATAGAATATAGTGCAGCAACTTAGGTATGTTTTCATGTTATCAGAACGTCAAATATGTTTGTCGGCTTCTTGTGTGTATTTTTTTTACGTTTGGAAACACAATCACCGTATTGATACCAGCATCAGTAAATATCAGCCATCCTAAACCGAACAGAATCGACATGAGATTATATATATAGTAAAACAATCATTTTCAAAAGCCGTCTGGCAAGCCTCCTTGCCATGGCAGCAAAGTATAGTTCTGCAAGGTAGCAAATAACCCTGATCTTTGGTAGGCATCCGTAAAGCCTGTAAGATAGGCTATCTGAACATGATATGTAACTGATATGCTGTTTTCTTTGTTTAAAGTGGTAAATACGATTCAATAGGTACTATTGCAGGTGCCCCCGTTGCAATCCAGTGTTTGGGCTTGTTTAAAGGTAGTCTGGCCGGACTCCCCTTTTTGCTAGACTTCACAGCGTGGACTGAATCGTCAAGTGTTTAGATTCATATACATCTTTTTTTCTATTGCAAGTTCATGCCCGGGAGCTAATTACAAACTGACAAGGACGATGAGTACATGAAGTATTGAAGAATGGTTTGAAATCCTGTGCTAACATAAAGTTCTAACAAGCATAACATTACTTGGCAAAGAAAAGTCCTCACCTCGTCAAAGTTCTCCACTGCGATATCCGACTCCACCGAGTCCGGTCTTTCCTCCTTGATGTCCACACTCTTCTTATTGGAACAACAGCGCTGCCATATTCTGTACCTGTTATAGTGATAGAAAACAAGAATGATACTTTATAATCCTATCATCCTAGGCTTGTTGTCGTACAGACCTATGTTACACAAGAATAGATGAGATAAATTGTCTTCAGTCAAGATTAAATCCTCAAACCACGCTGAACCAACAGAATTTCGGGAAGTGTTGTTTTTTTTCGTGAATATATTGGAACTGTAATGGGATTGTATGAAGAGAAGCGTCTTCAGGACGGGTCACCTACTGCTTTCGAGTAACCAGCCAATCTTCAATCCAAATATACAAACCCCACCCCCTAAAACAGAGCCGCCCAAAACAATACTTCCGACAAGTTAAGAGGAAATCACAGCTCACCCCGGCACAAAGAGAATGGTCTTGAGCCACGGCGGCGGTTTCTTCAGGTTCAGCTCGTGGAAGTGGAACATGATTCCGAACGCCGAGAAGGACACGGAGATGGCGACGATCACGATGGTGGCGCCGAAAAACTGGCCTGGAGTAGAATTTAAAAAAAATCACATATAGCATTACAAGCTGGAGGGACAACTCTAGACGCTTCTATATATAGGAGCATACTCATACTCATACTTGATCATACTCATCAATATATCAATATTCGAACATTCTAGTCATAAGGCATTATAATTTTTTCTCATACGATTGTATAATGAAAATAATTCCAGTTTTATGTATTTCATACCTAGCGACCACCCCTGTCAATCAAGTGAAACCCAAATCTCCGCCCACCCCACTCACTTCAGAATCCAAACATACAAACCTAGCACATATGTAGCGCCACCCAGAATAATACTTCCGCCCAAGACTTACCGACATACGGCACGGATCGGGACGTGATGGGGAGACTCTGGTTCACCATCAGCATGAATATCGCCCACTCACTTTGGAACCCAAACATACAAACCTAGCACACATTACCGCCGCCCGAAACAATACTTCCGTCCCAGAAGTGACAGACTGTTGCTTACCGACATACGGCACGGATCGGGAGGTGATGGGGAGACTCTGGTTCACCACCTGCATGAACACCACCAGCGCCAGTAACACCGTCACACCCAGGGACAGTTTCTCACCGCACGCAGCCGGCACCCAGAAGCCGAACAAGCTGGGATGGAAGGCAAATCAGAGATTTTAGGATTACGAATTTCAGTGTAGAAACGGCTGTGAAAACCCAATTAGTCTTCCTTCACAACCAGCTTATTGTATCCAGAGCTCTGAGCGAACAGAAATCAAAGCTAACTGTCTGTTGCATCCAGAATCGTGCTTTATCCAGAACTCAAGCACGATTCTGGATATTCTTCGCGTATCCAGAACCATTCCTGAGGCAAATCTACAGTATACGTTCTTAGTTACACAGAGACTCTCCAAATCCTAACCCATTCAAGCATAGACCTAGATAGGCACATCAGTTTTTCCTCACCTGACCAGTACGAAGAGGAAACACGGCGCGATGACGTTGACGTTGTAGAAGAGAGACCTCCTCCTGAGGAAGGCGCTGTACGTGACGCTAGGGTACGGCTCCGGGCAGCAGTCGTACAGGAACACCGCGCGACGGGCCTGGAGACAGGTCAAACCGACAGATCCTTAGTCTAACAAGCGTCAGATTCATTCTGTCTTACACCAACTATTCACAGTAGTTTAGCAATAACCTTATTCCAGTGGATCCATCTTGGGGTAATTCCTTTACATTCATTTACTTCCAGCTAAGTACAAACGAAGAAGCTGGTGTGTTACACCGAAGGGCGGCTACAACATCTGTGTCCATAATATCACCAGGGTCCATAATATCACCACCTCGAGAAATAGTGTGCTTTAAGATATTTTTACTGCAACATACTTTTGGTACGCGCTCCTTCCCACATCAAATGTACATACCTAGGGTATGTTGCAGTAAAAATATCTTTAAGCACACTATTTCTCAAGGTGGTGATATTATGGACCCTGGTGATATTATGGACACAGATGTTACCGGTCATACAGATACAGATAAATGGAATGGAGGTACTTGTAGTGATCAAAATTGCTTACATTGAAGCTGATCAGCTCCCATTCCTCGTTGACCTTGTAGCTGCCGGTGTCTCCAGTAGCTGACCTGAAACATCAACAGATGATGCACAATTGTTACAAGCCTTGTGTAAGGATATTGTGTCACGTGAAGCCTCTTTCAAGCATAGGCACCTGAATGAGAACAGAAAATAACATGCCAGATCCTTTTTGGAAGACAATGAATGGCCTACGTACGTACACGTAGACAATTTTGACCGCCAAATTTATCTCACTGTATATCCATTGGCCAGAACTAATGGTTTCTCATCTGACCAATAGATACTGCCTTGCCATTGTATGATTTGTTTGAAGATTAGACTACATGTACATTAGGTTTCTTACTTGTTTGTTATGTCGACTCTAAGGCCGTCAAACGACCAGGAGCCGAACTGCAGGTTGCATGTCTGTTCGTCGTACGGGAAGTAGGACACGTCAATGGAGCAGGTGGACAGCATGGTGAGCGGGAACAGCCAGGCCACGCTCCCGTCTGAGTAGATCGTCGCCTCCGAGTCCTCGAAGTTACTGCCGTAGGGCAGCAGGCTGGACAGGTGGGAAATGGATAAACTCAAACATGATCACCACATAGATGTATGTACTAAATATTATTAACCATCAACAGAAGGCATTATAGACCCGGTAGGGTATGATAACTGGGCTACTTTGGATTTGAATTGTTTCAGTTTTTTGCTGACTAACAGGACGATTTTCCCCCACTCTGTTTAATGGTTCCCAACCGTTACATATTCACTGACTGTACATCGGATGTACGCATATAACGAAATGACCGATTTTGAAAGCAGTACATGTTTGACCAGTTGCAACACACAGATGATGTCAAAAGAGCAGATCTTGAACGTGTCTTGCTTTGGTAACTGGGCCTATGAGGTAGACAAGAAAACATTAATATTCACCTGTTGTACACCAGTATATCAGGCCGCCATATCTTCTCACTGCTGACTCTGATGGCAGACGTCCCGCCCCAGTCTGACGGCGTCCACCTCATCAACTCATCTGTCCAGTACTGGGCGATAAAAAGATTGTTGCAAAATGAATTTGCATATTTACTCCCTATGATACCAGTGTGGGAGTTGGTAAATTACTAGTACATCGCAGAAGATATTTACAATATCAAAATACCCACTACAACATACAGGCAAATTGAAAGTGCTAAATGACTTGTTATCAACACATTTCAGTACGTGTTAAACAAACAAAAGACGCATGTTTAGTTAGATGGTAGTAGATATAGCAGATAATTCTCGGACCTACCATTCGAATCCACAAGCTTGTTAGAAGCTGCTGATTTCTTGAGTCCTTTGAGGCAAAAGAAATGCGATTAAACCGACGAAACTAAACCGACAAAACTATAAAATTCTGTATCTGATCATTCTGACTATCCAGAACCGTACCTGATCCTAACCCTAACCCTAACCCATTCAGGCATAGAACTAGATAGGCTCGGTTCTAGGTACGATAAAAACTACATTTGTTCATGTCTTAATGTATATAATGTACTGTACATAATGTGATTTATGATTTTGTAGATATTGTATTGTATTATGATTGTAGTGCCTGGGAGGGTAATTTGCAAAAGGTTTTTATACGCTTGTTTTGCCCTCCCTTCCGCTAGAGGTGAATCCAAATCAACAAATAATTTCTCACCACAGAGATGATCTGTGCCAGCGCCACGTCTATGGTGACGGAGACGGGATGGGAGTGGTTCAGCACCGGGCGGGCCTCGGGCTCATGGTCCGCCGTCAGGTTACCCAGCAACAGCGTCTCCCAGGAGTCGGCTGGGAGCAAAACATATCATTTTATAGTCATCAAATCACACTGTATCATTTCATATTTCATCTCATCTCTTATTATATCATATCATATCACATCGTCATTTCATATGTTTCATATCCGATATCTCTTATCATATCATATATGATACCAAATCATAACATATCAAGAAAAAGTGGGTAATCATGAAGAATTATTAATTGGTGTAAATCTTTCACTGCGCATGCTGTGAACTTACTTGCTTTATCATCTATTGTTAGGAATCAAACTTCACACTTTTACTACAAAAGAATACCAGCACGCGCGCAGAAAGGTATGCTACTTTAATTTTTCACAACTAATCAAATGTCGCGGTGCTTTTGGAAATAGTGTTGAACTTATGCCACGTTGCTGTTCTCACTATGATGGTGAAAGAAAGCATCATGATTTTGTTGTAGACCAACTATAATCCTTGGACAATGGGCTTCGAACACGCATGAGATGTTTGCAGGTATGTCTGGCAACCTGTACTATTTTAGACCGTCGTTCCTGCCCTGTGTTGACCTACTGTACCAAACACGCGTGCTCCGTTCCCACCCGCTCCTGTTTTCTGGTCTCACTGATACCCCTGAGTTTTCTTTGCCCATTTGTGGCCCCAAAACTGGACCCTTACCACAACAATACTTTGTTTAGAGAGTCAACGCAACGGGAGGTGTGGTGGGAAATCTGAACCATTCTCTTTGACTCTAATGGTTATCATATTCAGAAGATATGGTTTACATTTCATAGCTACAACAATAAGACAAAATTCAGCCTTGGCCGTCTAGTATGCTATCGGCATGTGTATAACTGAATGGTCGCTTGGTATACCTAACTTGCTGAATATGGTGCTTATATTTTGTACTTTTTTTTAAAGACGTAGAAGATGTATACGGCTGTTTACTCAGCAAATGAAGGTTTGACACCTTTAGTACAATAGAGGAACAAACCGTGACAGATGACATCAGATAACAGGACACTTTTCAGAGTCTTTTGCTTGCTTAATTCGCATAAAAGTGAAATATGTAAAGTTAACACATGTCTTGCAAGAGACCTACGCTTCCCTGTACCCAGAAACGTACAAAGAGTTTGATTTTTATTTTAGAAAAAGGCCATTGGTAAAACGAAATTTCTACCAGGTCAGCAACGTCCCATCTACGAATTTTACATCTAAAATGTATGTGATGTGAACAGTAACAATGAGTTCATCCCTCGACAAGGAAACTGAAGATCTGTTTGTGTGGAAAATACGTTCATTAGGCATGCATGCCATTAGCCTAACCTTCATTTGCACCGTGTACTCAAGGTGCTGGATTTAGGTTCTAACAGCGCTGGTTTAAACCTTATATGTTACTTGGAACTTTAGACATTCAAACACTTCTTCTTCACACCTAGGCCTAAAAGCTAAAACGTTGTGAAAACCCATGTATAACTTCTACAGTTACAGTTAAGTATCCTGTTAACAGACATCTATACACTGTATACACACGTAGGTTACAACCTCCTTGTGCAGTATCTACTACTGAACCCACTTGACTACTAGCTGGTTATCTGAAGTTTCAGCTTTCTTTGTACAAAAAATGTGCATCTTTCATCTATTCCTGAAGATTTCTTTTTTCTACGCTTACTATTTTGCACTTATGGTTAATCAACAAGAAGGGGAAGAAAGCTGCCACTATACTCGTAGGATAGTTCCTCTTTATCCATCTGTAATCACCTCTTTAATCAGGTCAACCCAAGAGGAACGCTTTTGTTTGATCTTAGCTTGCTTCCACAAATAAGACGTCATGTACGGAATGATTACACGATCTCTTTGCACGTATATACTTTTAAGCAAAGGGTCATAGGCAATTTATACATACTTTGTACCATTTAAGTTATGGCCTCACACCATGTTATAAGGTACATGTAGGTTATGGTATCAGAACTTAACGATATTCTTCATGTACAAAGTAAAGTTACACTATAACACGATGCTACATTTGTCAGACATTTCAACAAATCACTATCAAAGTAACAATCAAGCAGACAAAATAACGAAGACGAAAAAACAGTTCCACATTTCAGTGTCAGGCAGGTAAGCAGGTGGGTTAAGAGACTAGCGACTCTCTTCAAACATATGGCTATTAGATGCATCTATGTTTCATTCGGTGCCCTAACATTTCTAGAATGGTATATTGATAAAGAAGTCGACTTACCCTGTACATAAGTGACTGCAAAAAGCAGACACAGCACGTAAACCGCACAGTTCGCCATGGCACCTCCTACAGCACCTACTGTCCTCCCATAGTCTGTCTGCAAACACACAACGTTCTGTTGTAATCAATCCGCCATGCAGTGTCACCTTCCTAGGCGTATTGTACCATTGTTGTTTCAGCGAACCCCCAACAGGTCTAAACCAATGGCAGTGCGAAGTGGCAGAACCTTGTTACTGTATATATTTATACTGTAGAGTCAGGCTGTGAAGGTGTGTTTATGTGTTAGCTCGTGTTTCCACCGAGAGGCGATTGTAAAGGTTTGATAAATATTTGAGCTGGACTAGTTCCGAATATCGATCAATCACCGGTTGTACCGCATCAGAATGGGCTACAGCTTTTTTGTGGGGATACTTACAACATTCCACAGAACGTAACGTTCTATATAAGCAACGTGGCTGGTATAGATCCAAGAAAATACTTCTAGCCATTTAAAGAGAAATCCCTATTCACACAGTTTTGACAGTAAGTTCTTTTATATTTTTTGTAGTACATGTAGTTGACCTCTGACATCTGCTATCCTGTCCAATATCCTCACTGGAAACATATCTTTATTTTCATTTCTGCACGTGGTTAAAACCTAAGCAAATTACAATGGAGGTTAGACCAAAATGTTTTATTGATTTATTTCAAACTAAGACAAGGCACTCTCTTCAAGATGTCTTAAAACTATTTAACATCCTCTTGGCGTGGTGCTGCGTCATTCGCATTGCTGAGACGTCATTGGTGGTCGTGTGGCATCAAAGTCAACAGAGACCATTGTTACCAAGGACAAAAGTAAGTCGGTTTTGTTACCTGTATCATGGGTAGATTTCTCCTCATGAAAGAGCCAGCATGGCAAGTTTTTCTACGCCGTTTTGCTCTGTCTTTGTTTCGCTGTAACTTCTCATCAATCTCGAACTCACGCCATAGAGACGTATCCATGATCATGAGTTGGCAACCCAAGAAAGGCTCTCTTTAGAAAGTGTCGCTGAAGGCACACTATCCTTTGTACTGCACCATTTTCGGGGTGTGCATGTGCACCTTAGATATCTCTACACACATTTTATACATATAGTAAACTTCATTATTGTAACCCATAGTAACCAGATCTGTTGATTTTTTACGAGGGACATACGGCTATAATTGAAAAGGAATGTACCATGGAGTACATGTACATCACAGTGAGAGTGCCCGAATGTTTACATTCTGTTTGATTTCTTTTATAGTATCCACAAAGCTCTAGACGTGTTTGAAGATTGCAAATACATACAGTAAATAATATTTCTACTCAATAATCGATTACTAGCGGCTGTTCCTTATAAGTGTTTATTTATTGTAGGCATAAGCAAAACACATATGGCAAAAACCACCTTGTCAGAGAAACACTTGTAATAAAAAGCTTAGCAAAAATCGAACAATCGTGTCACACAAAATTAAGATCTCACAACAAAGCAATGCTGCAATTGTCAACGTAGCGTCTCTGTCAACAGACATCATAGTAAACAAAAATTAAATCGCACAGTGCGGTAGCATGGCAATTATTTCTTTGAATATATACATAAATGTAGTTACTTTCAATAGCCCCTGGGTGTTTACTTGTCTCGTTCTCCACTCATTCTCACTTAACAAGTTACTAGAGAATTTATGACATTAAGATCTTATAGCAGCATTTTTGTAGTATAAAATATATTTACATACATGTACAGATCTATAACCACTGTGAAAATAGTTCTTGCCCTCTGAGGTCACACCACTATTTTACTCCACATCACACTCCCATAGTGTTAAGAGAAAACTCTTGAAGTTGGCATTTCTAGTCCCTGTCACACTCTTAGATAAGAAGTTCTAGTTTGAAACTTTTTCTATTCTACTGTAAAAGTTTCAATATAAAAGCATTTTGATGCTTGCAACTATCGATGTATATTTAACACCGAATGGTAATGATATCTTATTAATATGAACATCGGATGACAAACAGTCACATTGATGACATCTTGCTCTTTACCATACATACTTTTTACTATATGTACATTCTTTAATTTTCATTTATTCTATTCGATTCTAGCAGCGTGGTTCAATAGCTATAGTTTTGCTGTGATAGTACAAGCACTGCAAGCATGTATGAAAAATAAACAACATTTCCAGACAGGTACAATGTATTGTAACACACTGTAACAAGTATAACATCTAGATATTCGTACTATATATATTAGGGTCATAAAAATGGACGTGTAATAGTTGGTGTTACATGTAATCTCCAAGCAGAACTTTCAGTGGCGGCAAAAGACAGTATCAGATTTTCTGGTCAATTTGATACTGTCTTTGCGGCCACCGAAAGATCTGCTTGAAGACTAGTTACATGTACTTTCTGACTCTAATATGATAAAGTAAGAATCGCTAGCTGTTGTATATACTTCAATAATGTTATAACACATTGTCCTCATCGGGCGCGGAACTGTTGGGCCCGTTTTAGCGCAGGATGCCCGGTGGCAGGGAGGCGAACATGGCGGCGGTCATGACGACGAACGCCACCAGGATGCCGATCATCAGCACCTTGTCCAGCTGTACCGCCAGGGTCTTCCACATGTCCCGCAGACCCTCCTGCTCCTCGTTCTCGTCTGACGTCTTTCTCAGCGCCTGGGGAAAATGAGAAGAGGAACACGCTGTAATTGCCATTTACAATCTTAACAACAATGCCATGCCATGCCATCTCTACACTGATCTATGTTGACATTGAGGTTGATCTTGTCGACAGCTCAAAGGAGATGACAACTGAAGAGACGCGTCAAGAATAGACCAAGACTCCTGAAAGGATGTACATGTACTTGACTTGACTTGAAGACTAAGGTTAAGTTATTCTTGGTAAAGCTAGATTTAAAGCGTTAAAATTTTAAAACACTGTGAAGAATGAAGACGGCATTGCTACTGACCTCGACGTTCTGGTCGATTTTCTCCATGTGTGTGGTGACCTGCACGCCCAGGCCGGTGTTGTTGTTTCCGTTATGTCCGAACCGCGACACTTTGGCGTTTATCTCTGCTGCTTCCTTCTGTTAGTACAGAATAAAGATACCATTATATATATAGAATACAGTGAACATCTCACTTTAACATACATTACACTTCCAGACAGACGTGAATACGTTATTAAACAGCATATTCATGAGAGCATACCTATTCTACCAAGGTTTATGTTTTCTACCAATAAGTTTGGCTAACGTTGATAATCTATTTACCTCCTTCTCATCCATGGACACGACCTCGAGCCCCTCATTAGCGATGACGGTGGGCTCCACCTTCTTCTTCTTCCTGTTCTTGATGAGTTGCCAGGGTTTGTAGCTGAAGCAGAGACGAAGGAGTAAAGCACATCATGAGCTCGTTCATACAGCACACACTGTTCAATTGATACTTGCTAAATGTTGTCAAAATTGTCCCCTAAAAGCTAAGACTATCGAATCTTTAAACATTCTTTTGGCTCCTTACTGGTAGCGTCTGGCCCTAAACAAAGCTAGCCCTGTGACCACAGATTGCTAAACGATAGTACAAATTGGCCAAATAGAACAGTATGCCAGAGGAGTCAACTTTTGCATAGTAAGTTTTACTATTTTACAGCAACATTGGGAGCTTGGTAGAGGTTATTTGATTCCTACAGGCTCCATCTTCCTTAATCCTTATTCATATACATATTCTCTGCTGGTGACGTAGACCTCTTAGAATGATTGACCCTTGGCCTGTGACCCTTACCCGTCCACGAAGAGGATGGTCCTGAGCCATGTTGGCGGCGGCTTCAGGTTCAGCTCGTGGAAGTGGAAGTAAATTCCGAACGCCGAGAGGGACACGGACACCCCCACCAGGATAATGGTACCTCCGAAAAACTGGGCTGTAAGTAAGGAAACCAAAAAGGGATTATCAACGAGTCTACCTGATGTGGTGAAGGTGTGTGCGTGTGTCTGTGTCTGTGAATACGATTTAAGAAGACTAGAAGGCTTAAATGAATTGTTTTCATTTTGAAGTGCTAGTAGGTCTTGATAGGACGCCGAAAAGATTATGGGCCCCTAGCAACTTTCTAAGGTACTGCACCAAAACTTCCTGTTTTGATATCTCGTGTTTTGGCCAAGATATGGTCCGATTTCTAGATGATAAAAATTAGATAAAGCCAGCAACCAGGGCATGAACGTACCTATGTACGGCACGGATGTTGACGTGGCCGGTAACGTTTGTGACACGATCTGCATGAACACGACCAGCGACAGCAACATAGTCACACCCAGGGACAGCTTCTCACCGCACTCAGCAGGCACCCAGAACCCGAACAAGCTGGAACCAGACATCGTACATTTCAAACTTCCTGATTTCCACGAAGTAGATATGGTTTGTGTTAACTGATTGCATCATATATCTAGAATGCAGTATTAGTCATACGGTTGCTAGTATATGACGTAACTCTGCTATTACACCTTGTCTGAAGATTATGTCTCATAATTACACAGTACACATTCCTGGTGACCACAACCTACGCACAGGGCATATCGGGTCACAACCCTGTCTATCAAGTTCGTTAATTTGACCAGAAAAATATGTGTCTAGATTTATTTTCCTGACTGTCAACAAGAAAGTGAAGCCCAACATCACATGAAGAAATACCTTTCTTATGTGTGGACGATGTATAGATTGTAGGTATAATGTAAATAGTGGCACATTCTATTAAAACATAGAGACGTTGTCTGTTACCTGACGAACACGATGAGGATACACGGCGCCACGACGTTGTAGTTGTAGTAGAGCGTCTTCCGGCGGATGAAGATGGACATGGTCACCACCGGGTACGGCTCCGGGCAGCAGCCGTAGAAAAACTCCTCACGGCGAACCTGGATAACGACATAACATTGTAGTCAGCAATGCCATCGAAATGACAATGTGTACTGCAAATGATAATGTGTATACATTTATTGGGAATTCACTGACAGTGTCAGCTCTTTTTCTATCTTTCTGTCTGTCTTTCTGTCTGCCTGTATGTATGTATGTATGTATCTGTGAGCGCATGAGCTAGTACTGTCAAGTTTGTGAATGTGTGTGTGGATGTGCATGAGTGTGGACGTGGATGTCTGTGTACGCGTGTGTGTTTGTGTCTTTGTGTTTGTTTGTGTTTACTTATGTTTACTCACCGTGTAGCTTCCGAGCTCCCACTCCTCGTTCTCCAGATAGTTTCCAGAATCAGGCTGGGCTGACCTGGAGGACAAAGAATAGTGGATCATCAGCAGTAGATCGGAATGTTCTGATTCCTGCGGTACAGTAACTACGGTGTGAAGGTCCCCAGAATAAGCCTTTATTCAGTAAATGTAGCTGATGTTGTGCTCCACATAGGGCCACATAGCTCCAGATAGGGCCACACGTCTCGTGGCAGAGGAGACTTATTTCTCGGGTAAAAACATATAGAAAGGTACAACTTTGTCTACATTTCATAACTAGACATGACACATACCTGTTGTGGACGTCAAGTTTGAAGCCGTCAAACGACCAGGAGCCGAACTGCATCTCGCACGTCTGTTCGTCGTACGGGAAGTACGTGACGTCGATGGCGCAGGTGAAGGTGAGGATGACCGGGTACAGCCACGACAGGCTCCCGTCGGAGTAGATGGTCGCCTCCGAGTCCGCAAAGGCGTCCGAGTACGCTCCCAAGCTGGGAAAGGATATGCAAAATGTACAACGTCAAGAAACATACAGGTACTCCCATTGCCTTTCAGGGGCCTATTTGGTTGTTGATAGGCACTATTGTTAGGCACTGCATTGCAAGACAGAGCCTTCCTCAAGTTTACCATCCCAACCCAAAGTCAGGTACTCATTTTTAAAACACCTGGGTGGAGTGGCCATGGGTCTATGTGTTACTGTGCGAGGAAAGTCGTGTTAATGTCTTCTATCTCGTGTTCGCTGGGCTCCGATCATTTCTCCATCCACCATCCACCATACACATCATCAATAAACATGTTTAATCTTGCTAGCTTCGTAATTTGTAAATGTAGTCCAGACTACCGGGCACAACAACTGCCGTATGTGGTAGTTTTGCGTTACCCGAATACAGAGGCCTGGAGCGAGGCTTCTTAGCGAATAATGGACGCTCTAACTTACACCATCTCCTCACATCTCCTCGCTAAAAGGACCAAAATGATCTCCTCCCTCACAATAGCCAAAGAACAGATAGAACAGGTAGACTTCGGAAGTATTCAACACTTGCAGTTAAGCGTGCTAAGTGCGATACGCGGGGTATTGTAGCGGAGAACAACTCTGCTCAGATCGGGTCCCGCCATGCCTGAATGGGCAGAGATGGATTACTCATGTTGACCTATTTCGTGCTTGGCAACAGGCCATATTCTTATGCATGGCTGCCTTTATATCGCCATGCGTCGCAGCGTCGATCTATGATTGTGATATAAAAGGACTGGATTCAATTGTCCCTGTAACAGGGTGACTTTACCTCGTGTTCGTACGTAGGACAGGCAAATGCCATCAGAGTATGAGTTGAAGATCAGTTCTCGGCGATTTATATGACATTTTAGACACTGTTTTGTCGGTGACAAGTGTCTATCATCTCTTTATATGTAAAAGAGATTATTTTCGGCACAAGTCAGCATATTGCTGCAACTTCAAGGGCGTTCTTGGGCATTTACACACAGGAAAACAAAGTTTTCTCCTTTTCACTCAAACAATTCGAGGCACGCCTGTGTCTCAGGGACCGGCCATATGCGCCGTGCGATCATCGTGCGATTGCAAACGTGGGGAGTTCTTGGAAAAGCCCTGCATGTGTTATGCAAACATCAATTATTACAAAAAAAGCCGCCTTAGATCCTTGTCAGCGTTTGATTCTGTCACAGCCTGCTTGCCAATTCTACGATCTTGTAAGGCATGAAATTCGTACGACGACTTATTACGAATATGACTAGGACACAACTTACAAACCTTTTAAACCAGCAATTTTTAGTAAAATGTGGACTACATTCTTGGCAGCAAGTCCGACTGTGTTTAAAACTCTCCCTACCTGTTATAGACCACGATGTCGGGACGCCAGATCTTCTCACTGCTGACTCTGATGGCGCTCACCCCGCCGAACTGGGACGCGTTCCAACTCATCGTCTCGTCCGTCCAGTACTGGGGGAACGAACGATTATGATTAGATGATACTGTATATATATTCCTGTGCATCAGTGTAACGAAATATGCTACTATCATTGCAGTTAGGTATTCGTGAAAGAGATTAAGATCAGAGCAAAGTGTCTTCACCCTTGTTCTGGCACACTGAGAGCGAGAGCACGTTGCAGTCTTCTAAAAAAGGCACTTGTATCGAAGGGAGTATATTGTACAACGAGTTGTCAAGCTGTCATTCTTGTTGTTCCGAGAGTTTGAATATGCCATTCTTTTGTTTGTCTTTGTTTGTCTTCGCTGGGAAAAGTAGAAGAATAAGAAAGAAACTTACCGACCGGTACCATAAATTCACAGTGACCTGTTGATTCTTTGAATCCTGAAAAAGGGAGAAATTGCAACAAAATTAGAATCATTAGGACCAACTTCAAACAAATCAAACAGTCAAGAATCTTAAAAAGTTTTCTGAAAACATGACAGTCGACGTTTGCACGACACATTTACGACTATTACGAAGTTTGCGATCGTACGGGGATCGTAAAACGATCGTGACACGTATGCAACCACGTCCTTACCACCGCGATGATCTGTGCCAGAGCGGCGTCTATCTTGACGGTGACGGCGTGCGAGCTGTTCAGCACCGGTCTCGGCTCCGAGTCGTGGTTCTGCAGAAGGTGTTCCAACAACTGCGCCTCCCAGGATGTACCTGGAAAGTCGTGCGTACAACGTTAGAACATTTAAAACCTTCCCCCGACTTTTCTACCGACCGCTCTCCAACCAAGCACAGTTCTGGGCCTGGAGCAGCCTGGAATCCATCATAATGGTGAATTTTAGCTCTAGATTGGATCCTGTCATACTGCCATAAAAATATTAATGTGCCTTTCTTGACTTCGTTCTTATTACAACATTCGTGCATGTATATTAGTCAGTCGGCTTGTCCAGCCAACGGGTAGGCCACTTCGGCAGCTAAAATAGGTTTATTTGGATACCTTGCTACTGATTGTGTCTCTGTGTTGTTTACAGAAGAAGAACTTTATTGCGCAACAGATGTAGCGGGTACAACGTATGGCAAAATATACATACATAGTTTGTGGTGTTAACATACACATATGGTGGTGTTGAGAATATCTAACAGTTCTACGAACTGTAATAGGAATCTGGTCTGCTTCATAAACAATGTATAACAAAAGAGAGATATATGAAGCTATTTCCAGTACACAGTGAATCATCGTAACATCATGGCCGTCCTAGAGCATTCTGATTATACCCTGCCTGTACGATAAACGTAGCGTGCGTAGATCGGTGACTAACCGTCATGATCTAATTTCCGGCTCAGAAGGCCACAACTTGGCCCCAATCCTCTTTACTGTCGAAATCTCTTAGTTGCATGCGTAACTGTCATACAGCAGTGATATTTCTATCTACATACTACATTACGTCATCAAGAAACACGCTATAGTTTCATCTTGTACCAAAAACACGAAACCGACAATATGCAGTCCTCACATTTGTTATGGAACAGTAACATACTAGTAACTCACTATCATAGAGCTCAATGTTGAAAGCGTCGGGTATAAATATGATTTTAGTCTTTAAGACTTTCGAAAGTACACAAAACTAGGAGGCACCTATATCTCCAAGTCCCTGTCCACAACAACAGCTCTACACTTATCAGACAGACCATGCCGATACTCTGCATCAGAATGTTGTTTACTCACAACAGCGTTCAAACGTCTAAGCTGTCAAGAGGACTACTTGAAAAAACGCTGGTCATCAAGTTTAAAACTACTTGACGAACATTCATCTTACTTAGCAATACATTTGAGGAAAGAGAATGCTCACAAAATCACATCCTAGTGATTCAAAACTGTTACAGATCACGAAACGTGTTCTCTGTTTGCTGCAGGAAGTTCTTCGTACTTCAGCTCACAGGCGACACGTCAACACATAAACATATCTCAGCCCTGTCTGTATGTTGAGTTGCCAGAGCTAACTATCACATTGCAAGGCTCGGGTGACAACGTAAACTTAACTTTACTAAACTGTGTGAACCCTAGCAATTCTATGTTCAACGTACGAAAATGATTCTTCAGTCATAAGTCTCCTTAAAGTAAGCCATGTGAAGTGGTAAAACTTGGGGTCATCGTGACATAAACAGTACTCTGTGTATGTTTGATTTGTTTCTAACAGTTGAGGTTGTTAACATCAAAGGCTACTGTCCTACCCATACTCCTTCCCCGTACTTGTGCCTACAGATACGAACTTTTAGACAGTTGTAAGTTGTTGTTTATGATTGTAACCTACTTTTCAGGCCACGGACATTCCTTGCTAACATGAAAGCAGAGGTACGTTGGCTTGAAAAAGGAGACAATGTTGGTAAACCTTGTTGTAACGTCCTTACCTCTCACAGCGGACGCCGTGGACACACACAGCGCCAACAGTACCAACGTCACCGCTATATTTCTCTCCATGTTGCCGCCGGGAGAGTTGTACCGCGCTCGGGGAAGCTTCAGACCCTGTTCGGAACCGTCCGAACACAGGATGTATCGTGATGTGGTTCCACACGACTGGAAATCCCTGCCACACACAAGCCTGACCACCTACACTCGCATCGCCTTCCCACAGGCCATCTATCAAATCTTTGACTCACTCAGGGCTTCTCGGAGTCAGTTTCAACCCACAAACGCGCCTATTGTCAGGCGCCTCCCAGTCGAGGTGAAACAAAACATCGAAGACCAACTGTGTTTGTGTGGTTATGCGGAGTGAGACATCGATACGCCGGCGTAATTAGCACCGATATGCCCACTTTTGTAGGCCCCGCGTCATCCAAGCACGACGGACCGGATCGTGTTCGGGCAAATGTTGTCCCAACTTCTGACCAGTCGTACGCTCACCCTGATCCCGAGAAATAGGATGAGGAGGCTGAGCGCACCAATGTTTATTTGTTTATTTATTTTATTTTGAACACAGATTCTAACACCTAAAGGGCAAACAAGAATGTATAACGTTGGAAACACAGCTGAATACCTTATTAGTCTTAAGTTGATCACTCTCACTCCAAGGTTATATATGATTCTAAGAAAAGGAGCAATCCTATATCTTAGTGCATTTGTGGGCGGGAATCGAACAGCAAATTTGCTTCGCCTGACGTACTCTAGAAATCAGTGTTGTTTGTATTTTGTTCCTTTATATACAGACAACAGGCCTGGTTTTATGGTCTTTTGTGGATAAACCCTACTTACAAGAGGATTAAGTGGAACAATAAACTCGGGACAAACGACACCACATAACTAGCACAGGGACGAACAAGTACTGTAGCTTTGTAATGTGAAAATACAGTATACGACGTATTTTTAAACACTGTTGAAGTATAACATCTATGGATTCTTGGTTTGTATATTGAGTCAGAAATAGCACCTACTGACTTGTAGACAAATGTTCATAACTTTTTTACCCTTGTTCCGTTGGCATTTTTGCAAACATTTTTCAATAATTTTATGTCTTAATCAGGTCTTAGGCCCTTGATTTTTTTGCCCTGTGGTGGCGTAGTTACTTCCATAGGTAGTTAACCCATACCTGGGCAACTCTTAATATAGGCCATAACAAAACCATTTTCAATCAGAACATTATTGTTGTCCCGTATTTGCTCTTCTGTATTATATAACCCCCACACGTAACGCCCCCTTTGTGTAGAGTTTGGAACAGCAGAATCTTGGTGTGTATCTGTTACGGTACACGGGTCCTTCAGTGGCAGTGAACCGTGAGGGGTGGGGTGTTGTCTTCAGTGGTGCAAGTAGGATCACTGTAGTAATGATGTAATAGCACAAAGGCGATCTAGGCAGAGGCTTATGCGTTCTAGAAGCAAAAACGCTTTATTCTGTCGCTCGCTCGCTCACTCACTCTCACTCACTCACTCACTCACTCACTCACTCACTCACTCACTCACTCACTCACTCACTCACTCACTCACTCACACACTCATTGACTCACTCATCAAACCAATATCATCGCTTTCCCTCATGTTAACATACGGTATACAACGGATATAGCGATTGTACATATGTTTACGGTATAAAAGGACCTTTAAGGAATGTCCTTTAAATGACTCTTTTATATTTTCAAAGAAAAGAACGGTACGCACGATCATCATCTATCAAGCGTAAATGCAATTTGATTTTGCAGAGAAACAGGGCAGTGCTATCCAACTAATGTCAACGTCTGTCTTGTCAAGATATATTTGAGCTCTGAATTCGAAGTTGCCCTATTTGTACCGAGTACTTCCGACAGCATTCCGAAATGTTCCGACGATCGTATCAACCATCTTAATCCTAGAACTGTAAGACGGTTTCCAAGTATTCGTATTTTCCCATGTCGTGACCTGTCATCATCAAGAAAAATGGTCGGTGGAAAGATAGCAGAGAAAATCCTCTATAAGAGTTTCCTGATGACGTAACACAGCATCAATACATGCATGAACTCAAGCGAACCGTGACGAAGAACATCACGTGACTGACATGATACCCAATCATTGATCAGGGTGATACAAACCTGTCGGCACCGCGCCCCGGACACATGACCGCCGTGTAGTGTCAACTTAGACCCCCTCAACCCAGCCTGTTTCTGCTTTGTTTGGGCTGTTGCTGTTTGTTTAACGATATTGGTTACTGTCTATTCAGACTGCATTATATCATGTATACGGGGACGAGCTTATTGTGTTGTTGTAAGGTGGGGGAGAATGGGTAATAGGTTCATTAGTACGGATTAGAAACCGTGACAGGCTCTTTCTGCATGTTATGCTACGGTCACAGTTCTAAACCGGGGCCCGGTCGGGCAGTCTAATGGAACGAAAAGTATGATTTAAAAGACAACAAAGCACAAAGAAGTTGAAAAAAAATAATAATGGGAACTAATTGCGTATACAGATTATTGATTTTTCGTTAATAGAAACAGCCCGGCCGGGCTCCGGTTTGGAAATGTGACCCCAGCATTAGGACGCAGTGGATTTAAGCTTGAGTTCGAAAATGAATTTGGTGTGTTTTCTTCTAACCATTCTCTCATTCCTTTCCTCGATCACGTAATGTAAAATAACAATGAAGACATGTACATGGAGGTTGGAACAATGCACGTATTCTTTGCCCATAAACCAAGTTGTGGCCAGAGCACGATACATGTCATATCTTGTCTTGTCTGAATAAGTTATCATCCGGCTCGGCAAACCAGCACCCAGCAAGAGCAAAGATAATGAGGATCGCTAGGGGTCCCCACTGACAGGTGACCGTCAGGTCAAGGAGGTAGAAACAAGATCTTTTAACTCAATAGTTAGGCAAACAAGGTAAGGTGTACAGGTGCGGTCATGGCGGAGGCCGTACTCAGCCAGATTTCCGGCGACTTTCTGGAGTGTACGATCTGCCTGGAGCCCTATAAGGACCCCAAGATCCTACCGTGTGTTCACACCTTCTGTAAGGGCTGTCTGGAGAAGTTTGTAGCGAAAGAAAGTAAAGTAAAGGACAGGTTTCCGTGTCCAACATGTCGGATCGAAACTGCACTTCCGGAAGGCGGTGTCGCCGGGCTCAAAAACAACTTCTTTGTCCTGAGCTTGAGGGACACCGTCGACGCTCACAAGAGTTTGGTTAGCAAGGAGGATGACAAAGTGACTTGTGATAACTGTGAAGAACATGTGGCTAATTTCGGCTGTGTTGTCTGTGAAGAGTTCTTGTGTGAAGAATGTGCTCGAGCCCACCGTCGAGGCAAACGTACACGTGACCATGAAGTCATCGGCGTGGCGGAATTAAAAGAGCAGCTGATCACCAAGACGTCATCGGTCAAGTCGAGATCACTGCCGATGTGTCCAAAACATGAAGACGAGAAGCTGAAGTTCTACTGTGAGACGTGCCAGAGCCCCATCTGCCGAGACTGCACGGTACTGAAACACAAGGACCACAAGTACGGCTTGCTGGCAGATGTTGTGGGTGACGTCAGGGCAAAGATCAAAGACAAACTCGCAAATGCCAGGCCCAAAATCGTGGAATACCGAGACGCTGCAAGTGTCACAGCCACGAAACAAGCAGAACTGGACACCAGGAGTAAGAAAGCTGCAGACGACATCGATGCAGCTGCGGAGGAAGAGATCAAGTACTACACTGGCCTTGTCAGACGCAAGCAGACTGAACTGAAAGATAAGTTAGCGGCCGTCACAGCAGCCCGTTCCAAGCAGCTCTCTGCTACAGCAGACAGTGTTGAGAGCACCTTAGGCTGTCTGTCCAGCACAGTGGACTTCTCACAGAAAGTCGTGGAGCATGGCAGTGACTTTGACGTCATGAACGTGTACTCTGACGTCACGGTCCGGCTGGAGTCTCTGCTGAAAGGTCCAACCCCAGACATTCCTGACGACATCAGTTACGTCAGGTTTGATCCCAAGACGAAAAGGAAAGAAAAGGAAATCGTCCTTGGTGACATTGTCGGTACGTTTCACAAACCTATAACGCTGTGAACCTCTGAAGTTACGTATTATTTGCTGTAGAACATGTTAGTTACGTATCAGCTTTAGCTTCAGAATGACGACCCGTAACTTTCACTATATTCTCCGGATAACTGATGTAACATTAACTTTCCTTTCCTCAGATTCTCCTTTCCGATCTGCCAAGTTGACCACCCTGCGCGCCAGCGGCCGTCTGGGCCCCACTACCCTGGGTACCCACTACAGGGGACAGGACCATGAACACCTGGTGACGCTACATGACGGGATACAACACTTCACTGTACCGGAGACGGGAACGTACAGCATAGAGGCAACGGGTGGAGATTTTTTTAGCAGATATAATAGATACGTTTTGTGCACATGTGGCTCTCTTGGATTATGTAGAAATTTTTGTGTTTTTACTCCAACAATAGTACATGTTGTCGCTTGTAAAGTGACATTACTGCGTTATTACATTAATGCACAGTAACTTCAATCACAAAAAAGTAAGACTTATTTCCCCTTTAATGTCAACAATGTTTACTTTTGATTGTACGTGTTATTTGTCTTAGTACTGAAAGTGAGTCACTGACCGACATGTTTGATTGACAGGTGCTGCTGCAGGGTGGGGTGTGAGGAACCCAAAGTCCGCCCGAGGACGGGGTGCCGTACTGAGGGGAACATTTAACCTCAAACAAGGTGCGATATATGAATGTTACGGAAGCAATTGTAGAGCCTTCCGATTTGTAGCTACAAATGAAAAAAAAAAACAATACATAACTTAATAAAATTTGTCAACTTAATCATTTCATTAGTATCATAAAAATATGTGCGTAATTAGAATTAAAGAGTATTTGCAAAATAACTTTCTCCCATAACGAAGACTTGGAATGATTATTACCGATTACAAATTTTCTATATATCAGGTGAAACTCTGAAGATCCTGGTGGGACAAGAAGGTGCTGAGAACAGGGCTGACTTGGGTGTAGGAGGAGGGGGCGGTACGTTTGTCACCAGGGGAGACAACACGCCGCTCATTATCGCCGGGGGTGGGGGAGGGGTGGGGGCTGGACTACAGACCCATAACCCCATGTGTGACGGAACTGTGTCCACTACTGGTAACAAGAGTTACGGAAGAACTGGTTGTAGAGGAGGATCTAACGGACAGGGGGCGACAGAATGGAAGGATAACTGGATGGGTGGGGGAGGGGGAGGGCTGCTGACGGATGGAGGGAGTTCTAAATGGTTAGGAGGAGACGGTCGTGAGTACGGTGGGGAAGGTGGGAAGGCGTTTGTGAATGGCGGGGTTGGAGGGCGTGGGAACTGCAATAATGCTGATGGTGGGTTTGGTGGAGGGGGAGGGAGTTATGGATACGGTGGTGGAGGAGGTGGGGGAGGGGGGTACTCAGGGGGAGGCAGGGGAGTGTGGTGTGACCCAAATGGCGGAGGAGGAGGCGGTTCGTTTAACTCCGGTACTGACACGAGCGGTCAGGATGGGGCAAACGACGGACCCGGGTATGTGGTCATCACCAGACAGGCGTAGGAACGTAACGAACGAACAATTCCCAAACTTTCAGTCGCCATTTAAAGAGGACGTTTAAATCAACATGATGTCAAAGCAATGCACTTGAATCCAGAAATTATGACAAACACTGCACATAGAAAAGTTTTTTTTACAGATAGATAGACACTGGGGACGCCAAAATTAATCTTGATTTTTCTATTGGTTTACATCGTTGAAAATTGCAGTGCCTTAACGTTTGGGTTTCTATATATAGATAATTGCAAAAAAACGGCTAAATGTAAATGAACACGCCTGTCCTTGGTGCTGATTTGGATATTTCCATCAAATGTATGTCAGGTTTCGCGTTCTACAGTAAGATAGTATCAGATCAAGCCTGGCCTTCATTGGCTACAAGGACAAGCCGCCATTAGAGATATTTTCTTGCATACGTATTTCTTTGTAATCTGTTCTTGTAATGACTACCATGTAAATAGTAACGTCATTTGTTGCCTAATTATGTTCACAGATTAAACAGCGCCTCTCAAAGCGTTGTTATTTTTCTCTGTTTAATTACACACTAACTTGCAATAACCCGCCAGTAAAAGGCATATCTGTTCTTACACGAGATGCAATGTCAGAAATACATACCAGTAGTCATGCTATTGTTATATTGCTACCAGACCACCGACAACAAACCGATTAAGAAGCAGAATCGACAACTAGGTGAGTCAGGCTTGTTCGAGTTTGGAAAATGGATAACCAAGCACAAGTGGTCCGAGGTGTACGATGCACACGGAGTGATTGACAAAGCTAATGCCTTTCACTGCACACTCGAGAATGCCATCAATACATTCTTCCCGACCAAGATCATCAAGGTGCACCAAACGGACAAACCCTGGGTGACACCACAGATCAAGCGGTTGATAAGCCTGAGACAGAAAGCTTTTCACAGACAGTCTGCAAACGTCTGGAAATTCTACAGGAACCTAACGCAAAAAGCTCTTGCCAGAGCTAAAAAGTTCTACTACACAGACCGAGTCGCCTCTCTTAAAACAGCCAACCCCAAACAGTGGCATCAAGAAATCATGAACATGGCCAACGTAAGAAAACCTGATAGTAACATCTCGGTCCCAGGGATTGCTACTGAAGACAACTCTTCCATTGCTAACGCCATAAACACAAAATTCGCACAAGTCTCCCAAGCACTTCCTGCACTGGACTTGACCCAACTCCCAGCATTCCTACCCGCGCCCCACCAATTACCGTCTCTAGCAGTCTGGGACGTGTATAAACGCCTCCAAGCAGTCAAGACCAACAAGGCGCCGGGACCTGACAACATTCCACTGAAACTACTGAAGGAATTTGCCTGTGAACTCAGTTCTCCATTCTGTCATATTCTTAACACTTCCTTCTCAAACGGAATAGTTCCTGACCAGTGGAAACAAGCAGTTGTGGTTCCAGTACCCAAAACCCAACCAGCCAGTATCGACCAACTACGTCCGATTTCTCTGACTTCTCCGTTCGCTAAGATCGCGGAACACTTTGCTTTATCTTGGATCCTGCAAGACGTCAAGTTTGACAACCGACAATTTGGCAGTCTCAAAGGACGGTCTACTGTACACGCACTCGTAAGCCTGGTGGACAGCCTTTTCCAGGGAACGGACAAACCATCCACTATATATACCCTTGTAGCCACAGATTTCACCAAGGCTTTTGATAGAGTCCACCACCACACTGTTATCACTAAACTGTTAAACATGGGTTTGCGACCTGAGTTAGTTCCATGGCTGGCCAACTTTATCTCCGACCGGAAACAGCGTGTGCGCTACCGCGGATCTTTTTCTGAGTGGGAGTATCTGTCATGTGGAGTTGCACAGGGCACTCTTCTAGGTCCCGTATTATTCCTGGTACTCATAGATGACGCCGCTTCCGACACTGTGACTCCCGTGTGGAAATATGTCGACGACATGAACATGCTACAAACAAGACGACTTCAGCAACCTACACTTCAGTCAGACTTAGACCAGTTATACCAATGGTCAAACCGTAACCATATGCTCCTGAATGGGTCGAAATGTCTTGCCATGCACATCACTTTCTGCAGGAAGCTACCACCTCTGCCACCTTTGCAAATCAACAACACACCACTGAATGTAGCGACGAGTCTTAAAATCCTAGGTCTGCACATTCAGAATAACTTGCACTGGGACTCCCAAGTCAAGCAGATGGTAGGAAGAGCTTCAAAGAAACTGTTTCTCCTTAAAAGACTGAGAAGATGCAACCTATCCCACAAAGACCTGATTTCAATCTCTCGTACACTGGATACATCAGACCCATACTGGAATACGCTGTCCCGGTATGGTCATCTGGCCTCACTAAAGCTCAAATAGTGAAGCTTGAACGCGTCCAGAAACGTGCCTGCAGGATCGTGCTCGGTAACGACTACACCGGTTATGCGAACGCCCTTCAGCACCTTGGACTGACATCACTGGTGGACAGAAGGGAGCAGTTGTGCCTGAAGTTTGCGCGGACGCTGATGGAGTCTACATTCAGAGACTGGCTCCCGAGGTCGAGGGGGGAAATATCTGGTCGAAACACTCGCAACAAGCAGAAACTGAACACACCTCTCTGTCGGACCAACAGACTGAAAAACTCTCCCATTCCATACCTTGTAAACCTTCTCAACAAGGGACAGTGAACTCTGAACTGTACTCTGAACAAACTTTCTGAATTTCGAATGTAAGTTTACCTTGCACCTATCTTGTTGTCAATCTACGCCTAACTACGAGTTTTTAATTGATCTTTTTATCTTTAAGAGATGCCAATTTGTTTTATATAGAAATTAAGAATTTACTTTTAAAACTGTAAATACCCACAGCTTGTGTATAATAATATAAAACGAGCTCAATGGTTTGTAAATACCAACGCAATTCAGACTTTTGTCTGCCATGTTTGTATTGAAAATAAAGTTTCAAAGTTTCAAATCTATCATGCAATGCTTACACATGGGATTCTGGATTTTCTTCCTCGTCACACGGCACTTATTGTCACGTGCATGTTATCCATTGAAATCCCAAACCTTATCAAACAATAAACTTAGTTTGAAACAGTTTTTCAGGGTGTCAGCTGTCAGACTTGTACTTAAGTCAGAAAGCTTCTTAAATTCGTATCAGGCGCTCCGTTATCTTACCTTTAGCCTTGAGTCTTAAGATGCCTCTTCACCCTTCAGCAGTATAAAGTAGGATCGACTTCGCATAACCTGATCAATCTATCCAAATCCACTTACAGACAATCATCGCGGTCAAAGGATCGGTCTTTAAGTCTTAAATTGAGATTTTTCTCTACTACAATCTGGGGATATTATTACCACCCCTGGGTGTCGTGAAGAATTTCCTCAGACGAAATGCCGAGTGTTGTATTCTGCAGGTATTGTGTTATGAAGAATATATGGCCCCCGGTCCGGTAAATTTTCTGGACCAGTCAGAGTACAAATCTGATCTGAAAAACACACAACCGTTCGTATTGACACGAGTTTGGGTCAAGGTCAAACAAATGAACAGTGTACTTGGAGACTTGTTTGTGTTTTGATCTGTTTATTTGATGAAATTCGAAAACAGAAATATTGGTGTTATGCCTTACACTTATCACTGCAATAGAATCAAAAGTGGCATTAATATGAGGACGTTGTCTCCTGAATGGCTGCTGGAAAGTTTAGGTTTACATGGTTGCATTTGCATAACATTTTGCCTGTCAGATACTCTATGGACTATTTTTGTTACTGTATTGCGCTTAGCGTTTGTGGGGGGGGGGGGCACTTGTCCACCTTATAAACATAACTGTTGTAGCATAAGCTGCCGCGACCAATAACGTACTCTCTGCTCAAACATGTACTTTGTCCAACTCCTTACATCTCCGTGCAAACATTTATCTGGAAATATGTCTTAGAATCGGCGATTCAAGATTGTTATTAGATGTATAATTATTACGAAAATTACGTTTATTGATACAGGCCAACTCTTCAAACAAAGCACATGTTTTAACCGACCAAATTATGTACTCTCGACTGCAAATGTACAAAGTCCAAGTCCTTATCTCAGTCACATGAGCCGTACAGGTGCGGTCATGGCGGAGGCAGCACTCAGCAGCCAGATTTCGACCGACTTTCTGGAGTGTAAGATCTGTCTGCAGCCCTTCAAGGAACCCAAAACCTTGCCGTGTCTTCACACTTTCTGTAAGGTCTGTCTGGAGAACGTTGTACTGCAGCAAGATGAACTAGACTCGACGGAGTCCAGTGACGATGAGGAAGAAGAAACCAACAAGTTTCCGTGTCCAATATGTCGGACTGAAACTGTACTTCCGGAGGGCGGAGTCGCCGGACTCAAAGACAACTTCTTTGTTCTGAGCTTGTGGGACACCGTTGAATCTCACAGGACTCTTGCTAGTAATGACAAAATGCCTTGTGATGTCTGTGAAGAAGTGGCTAGCTGCGGCTGTGCTGTGTGTGAAGAGTTCTTGTGTGAGGACTGCGCCCGAACTCACCGTCGTGCTAAACGTACACGTGGCCATGAAGTCATCGGAGTGGCGGAACTAAGCCAGCAGCTGATCTCCAAGGCGCGTTCATTCAAGTCGACATCAGTGCCGATGTGTCAAAAACATGAAGACGAGAAGCTGAAGTTCTACTGTGAGACGTGCCAGAGCCCCATCTGCCGAGACTGCACGGTACTGCAGCACAAGGACCACAAGTACGGCTTGCTGGCAGACGTTGTGAGTGACGTTAGGGCAAAGATCAAAGATAAACTCGCAACTGCCAGGCCGAAAATTGAAGAATATCGAGATGTTGCAAATGTCGCAGCCAAGAAGCAAACAGAACTGGACACCCGAAGTAAGAAAGCCGCAGACGACATCGATGCAGCTGCGGAGGAAGAGATCAAGTACTACACTGGCCTTGTCAGACGCAAGCAGACTGAACTGAAAGAAAAGTTAGCGGTCGTCACAGCAGCCCGTTCCAAGCAGCTCTCTGCTACAGCAGACAGTGTTGAGAGCACCTTAGGCTGTCTGTCCAGCACAGTGGACTTCTCACAGAAAGTCGTGGAGCATGGCAGTGACTTTGACGTCATGAACGTGTACTCTGACGTCACGGCCCGGCTGGAGTCTCTGCTGAAAGGTCCAACCCCGGACATTCCTGACGACATCAGTTACGTCAGGTTTGAACCTAGGAAGGAACGGGAAAAAAGGGAAATCATCCTTGGCGACATTGTCGGTATGTTTCCTTCGAAATCACTACCCTAAATATATAGTTTTAGAAATATCAAATCTTAAACAGATAATTGAGCTTAAACTCCTACTGATACGATAAATGTTGCAAGATGAACTCCAATCTCTTTAGATTCCTTCCGAACTGCCAAGTTGACCACCCTGGGCGCCAGCGGCCGTCTGGGCCCCACTACCATGGGTACCCACTACAGGGGACAGGACCATGAACACCTGGTGACGTTACATGACGGGATACAACACTTAACTGTACCGCGGACGGGAATGTACAGCATAGAGGCAGCGGGTAGGGACGTCTATTTATGATAGCCGATATAACTAATCTCCAAGCAGATCTTTTGGTGGGGGTAAGACAGTATCCAATTGGCGAGTCTGTATCCATTTCCCCACCCACTTTGGTGGGGAAATGGTTACAGACTGGCCAATTGGATACTGTCTTACCCCCACCAAAAGATCTGCTTGGAGATTAGATATAACAGTCTTATAAAATCCTTGCTCTTTGTGCCTATCGGTGTAATTTGAAGACATTAATTTGCAGATATACGTTTGTTTTTATATTCAAACTAATGTAGTTCTTGAATAGCAGCTCAATTTATTCATTTGTTTGATTGACAGGTGCTGCTGCAGGGTGGGGTGTGCACAACCCGAAGTCCGCCCGAGGACGGGGTGCCGTACTGAGGGGAACATTTAACCTCAAACAAGGTGCGAAATTTTCAAGTTATGGAGGCAATACAAATAAAAACAACATATAACTCACTGAAATTTCTCAACTTAAGCATTTTATTAGTGTCATTGAAATATGTGTGTAACTATTGATTAAAGAACATTTGTAAAACAGTATCTTTTACAGATGAGAATGATTATCATTGACTAAAGATTTTCTATATACCAGGTGAAACGCTGAAGATCCTGGTGGGACAAGAAGGTGCTGAGAACAAGAGACATTGGGGTGTAGGAGGAGGGGGTGGTACATTTGTCACCAGGGGAGATCTAGACAACACGCCACTCATTATCGCCGGGGGTGGGGGAGGGGGAGGGGCTTGGCTAAAGACCCATAACCCCCTGTGTGACGGGACTGTGTCCACTACTGGTAACAAGAACTATGGGGGATCTGGTTGTAGTGGAGGATCTAACGGACAGGGGGCGACAGGATGGAAGGGTAGCTGCATGGGTGGGGGAGGGGGAGGGCTGCTGACGGATGGAGGGAGTTCTAAACAGTTAGGAGGCGACAGTTGTGACCTCGGTGGGGAAGGTGGGAAGGCGTTTGTGAATGGCGGGGTTGGAGGGCGTGGGGCATATAATAATGCTGATGGTGGGTTTGGTGGAGGGGGAGGGAGTTATGGGGGTGGTGCAGGGGGAGGTGGGGGAGGGGGGTACTCAGGGGGAGGGAGGGGAGTGTGTACTAACCCAAATGGAGGAGGAGGCGGCGGTTCGTTTAACTCCGGTACTGACTCGAGCGGTCAGGGTGGGGCAAACGACGGACCCGGGTATGTGGTCATCACCAGACAGGTGTAGGAACGTAACATACTCTTAAACTTTCAGTTGCCATTTCAAGAGGACGTTTGAATAAACATGATATCACAGCAATGTTTAGGAATCCAGAAATTTTGAAACACTGCACATAGAACAGTTCTTTACAGATATATAGATTGACGATTTTCTATTGTTTCACATCGTGGAAAATTGCAGTACTTTGTTTGGTATATGTAATCGGAACTAAACCCTGTGAGTACAATTCAAACACACTGTCACGATTTTGACCTGACGATCGCATTCTTAGAGCTTGATATGTAAACAATAAAATTGGAACATGTCATCATACTCTGGGATCCTTTAGGAGACCCTTACAGAAACATATGCTGAAAATGCCACAATTATGTATCATTGTCACATTAAATGTAAACGCTTGTCCATTGTACTATATATCATATCTACATTTTCCAATCTTGTGAAGCAATATGTTGATGTTTATCACAGAGTCTAAGCAATTATGTGACAGTTCCATCCATAAGAACATCGAGATTACACTCGGGACAATATCGCATGGTTAATGGAGTAAATATTGCTCTGATATTTACCTCTGAGGTAGATCGTGGCTCTCCCCGCCTCCCGGCTTAACTTTCCGTTTACCTGATATTTCCTTACGGACAAAAGATCAATATTCCAAGGACGGAGCAAGTGGTGTTATAAAGCAGGCTGGCTGCAGCAGGCTCGCATATACATGTCTGTAACGGAAGGCTGAATGGCAACGCCGGGATTGCGTACTTAAGGTTAGCTTCACCGAGTGTTGCATCCTCTTGTTAAGGTGTCTGTATCGGTATAGCCGGTATAACCGCCCTTCAGCGTAACACACCAGCTTCTATATCTGTATAGCCGGTAGAACCACCCTTAGGCGTAACACACCAGCTTCTATATCTGTATAGCCGGTAGAACCGCCCTTCGGCGTAACACACCAGCTTCGCAGGCACGCGGCGCGGCGGCAGCTGGCTGTATTACTGTATTACGCCGAGCGACCAAAGGGAGTAGCAGAATTGCATACAGAAAAGCCCGGACGGAGAAAGGACACGGACACCAGTTTGTACTATTGCACGGTTTGAACCCGTAAAGGCAGGTTGGATTCAGCCAGACTCAGAAGAACCAGAGGACAGACAGTAGCTAGAATTTGATTAGGACTGCTATCGTGACGTTTTCAACTATGCTGCTGTCGCACCACCTCTTGGACGACACAGGGAGTGTCAGAATCCGACACGTGCCCTTTGCATTTCATGAAGCATTGGTACAGTCACCAGCAAGATAACTTGGTCCATACTGTATCTATGGCATACAAAAATTTCTTCGTACTAGACGCCATATATAAACGGTTAAGCAGTCGTTTGCAAACTGTATTTGATGAATACGCATGGTCAGCACCGCCGCCGCGCCGCGTGCCTGCGAAGCTGGTGTGTTACGCCGAAGGGCGGTTACACCGGCTACACCTGCATGTACAGGAGAGACATTCAGCGGTCATTCCCATTACTGCATGGTCATCAGTGTACGCTGGGTGGAGTTTTGTCATTAGTTACAAGAGGTCGCTGCCCATCAACGAGAAGACCGCAGCACATGTCCGATGCTTAGCAACTAGCTAACGTAGAACGAGAGTTGTACTACAATGTATTAATATTACAACATACAAACAGCGCAGTAGCGTGTAACGTTCTGGGTCTCACCGAGTGCTAGCGTCATCCAAACCGTACACCATCTGTCTGATAAAAGTATGGCTATTCTATATTGTTGCTATATTTATGACGAAAATATTTATTACGTTAGCGTTTCTTGTTAGAAACTAAACTACATTTGTCTCCAAACCAAGGCGAGTTGTTTTTTTATATCTACGTGCACCCGCGCAGTTAAACATAACCTTTGTAACATTCTCAGTCCTGGTCGATGACGTATTCTCTAGAGCAAATGTACAAAGTTCTAGCCCTCGGTACCTTAGTCACGTGAGGCGTACAGGTGCGGCCATGGCGGAGGCCGTACTCAGCCAGATTTCGGGCGACTTTCTGGAGTGTACGATCTGCCTGGAGCCCTACAAGGACCCCAAGATCCTGCCGTGTCTTCACACCTTCTGTAAGGACAGTCTGGAGAAGTTTGTAGCAAAACAAGGTAAAGAGAAGGGCAGGTTTCCGTGTCCAACATGTCGGATCGAAACTATACTTCCGGAGGGCGGTGTCGCCGGGCTCAAAAACAACTTCTTTGTCCTGAGCTTGAGGGACACCGTCGACGCTCACAAGAGTTTGGTTAGCATGGAGGATGACAAAGTGACTTGTGATAACTGTGAAGAACATGTGGCTAATTTCGGCCGTGTTGTCTGTGAAGAGTTCTTGTGTGACGATTGTGGGAGAGTCCACCGTCGTGCCAAACGTACACGTGGCCATGAAGTCATCGGAGTGGCGGAACTAAAAGAGCAGCTGATCACCAAGACATCATCGGTCAAGTCAAGATCACTGCCGATGTGTCCAAAACATGAAGACGAGAAGCTGAAGTTCTACTGTGAGACGTGTCAGAGCCCCATCTGCCGAGACTGCAAGGATCTGCAGCACAAAGACCACAAGTACGACTTGCTGGCAGACGTTGTGAGTGACGTCAGAGTAAAGATGAAAGGCAACCTGGCTACTGCCGGGGCAAAAATTGAGCAATACCGAGACGCTGCAAATGTCACAGCCACGAAACAAGCAGAACTGGACACCAGGAGTAAGAAAGCTGCAGACGACATCGATGCAGCTGCGGAGGAAGAGATCAAGTACTACACTGGCCTTGTCAGACGCAAGCAGACTGAACTGAAAGAAAAGTTAGCGGCCGTCACAGCAGCCCGTTCCAAGCAGCTCTCTGCTACAGCAGACAGTGTTGAGGGCACCTTTGGCTGTCTGTCCAGCACAGTGGACTTCTCACAGAAAGTCGTGGAGCATGGCAGTGACTTTGACGTCATGAACGTGTACTCTGACGTCACGGCCCGGCTGGAGTCTCTGCTGAAAGGTCCAACCCCGGACATTCCTGACGACATCAGTTACGTCAGGTTTGATCCCAAGACGGAAAGAGGAGACACGGAAATCATCCTTGGTGACATTGTCGGTACGTTTTGCAGTTCAAATTGATATAACCTGCGATGTTGTCAGCGGCTGGGAAGAATTTCTTAATTGCTAAATTTCCTGCCAAAAAATGGCGTGTAGACAAATGCAACATAAACATATGAATATAATTTAAAAAAAAACAAAAGGTTTGTTCAGCCGACAGCAACACAGTCAGTTACTGAGGATGGTGACAGGCGGTCACCGAAACGTCAGCTGAATTCGCCTTCGTTGTGTGAAACTTTAACATATATTTATTGTTACCTATTGTGAGACGCTTACCGGCGTGGCATGCGTATAGTTATGAAGCAACAATGTTTTACTTTAAAGTGACCTTTTAAACAATTTGTGTATACATGTATTATCTATCCCAGGTACGTCAATTACAAAAACATCCTATTACCAAACCTATGGTCCTTTTTTTGCCAGAACACCAGCCCTGCTTTCAGTTGACCACCCTGGGCGCCAGCGGCCGTCTGGGCCCCACTACCCTGGGTACCCACTACAGGGGACAGGACCATGAACACCTGGTGACGCTACATGACGGGATACAACACTTCACTGTACCGCGGACGGGAACGTACAGCATGGAGGCAGCGGGTGGGGACTAGTACTTTTTGTACACTTGTGTAGAAGATGTAACTGATAATTTATGTAGCGCTCTTCAACACTCCTACATATTGTCACCTGGGCGCTTCTAAAGCAACGTTGCCTTAGTTGTATTGTAGCATTCATGCACTATCAAGTAAAACTTTCCTTTTTAAAACATGGCATTTCTATTTAACTGTCTCTGTTATTAGCTTGCTCTCTTCTCATTCCTGTAAAAGTGCCTGACATGTTTGATTGACAGGTGCTGCTGCAGGGTGGGGTAAGAACAACCCGAAGTCCGCCCGAGGACGGGGTGCCGTACTGAGGGGAACATTTAACCTCAAACAAGGTGCGAAATTTGCAAGCTACGAAGCACTTCTAGAACCTTCCAATTTGAAAAGAAAAACAACCAAATAGAACTCACTACAATCTCTTAAGCCTTGCATTGAATTAGTATCATAGAATGAATGAAAAGTGTAAAACCAGTATTGAAAATAGTTTCGTAAAGCACTAACTTTCCCCGATCGATAAGAAAGACCCGGAATGATTATTACTGATGAAAGATTTTCTATATATCAGGTGAAACTCTGAAGATCCTGGTGGGACAAGAAGGTGCTGAGAACAAGGAGGCCAGCAGTGTAGGAGGAGGGGGCGGTACGTTTGTCACCAGGGGAGACAACACGCCACTCATTATCGCCGGGGGTGGGGGAGGGTCAAGGGCTGGACCACAGACTCATATTCATAACCCCCTGTGTGACGGGACTGTGTCCACTACTGGTAACAAGAGTTATGGAGGATCTGGTTGTAGTGGAGGATCTAACGGACAGGGGGCGACAGAATGGAAGGGTACGTGGATGGGTGGGGGAGGGGGAGGGCTGCTGACGGATGGAGGGAGTTCTAAACAGTTTGGAGGTGACAGTTGTAGGTATGGTGGGGAAGGTGGGAAGGCGTTTGTGAATGGCGGGGTTGGAGGGCGTGGGAACTGCAATAATGCTGATGGTGGGTTTGGTGGAGGGGGAGGGAGTGAAGGGGCCGGTGGTGGAGGAGGTGGGGGAGGGGGTTACTCAGGGGGAGGCAGGGGAGAGTGCCGTGACCCAAATGGCGGAGGAGGAGGCGGTTCGTTTAACTCCGGTACTGACACGAGCGGTCAGGATGGGGCAAACGACGGACCCGGGTATGTGGTCATCACCAGACAGGTGTAGGAACGTAACCAACGAACAGTACATGTACTCTCAAACTTCTCAGTCGCCTTGTCAAGAGGACGTTTGAATCAACATAATATCAAAGAAATGCACTTGAATCCAGTAATTTTTACAAACACTGCGCATAGAACAGGTCTTTAAAGATAGATTGACGCTGGGGACTTGATTTTTCTATTGTTCTACATCGTTGACGTTGTAAATTGCAGTGCCTTTTAAAACGTTTGGGTTTCTATAGCAAAAAAAAACGGTTAAATGTAAAATGAACACGCCTGTCCTTGGTGCTGATTTGGACATTTCCATGAAATTTATGTCAGGTTTTGTATTCTACAGTAAGATAGTACCAGATCAAGCCTGGCCTTCATTGGCTACAAGGACAAGCCGCCTTTAGAGATATTTTCTTGCATACGTATTTCTTTGTAATCTGTTCTTGTAATGACTACCACGTTACATGTAAATAGTAACGTCATTTGTTGTTTAATTATGTTCACAGCTTAAACAGCGCCTCTAATGCGTTGTTATTTTTCTGTTTACACAGACTTGCAATAACCCGCCAGTAAAAGGCAAATCTGTTCTTACACGAGATGCAATACCAGAAATACATACCAGTAGTCATGCTATTGTTCTATTGTTACCAGTACATCTATCATGCAATGGTTACACATGGAATTATGGATTTTCTTCCTCCTCACACGGCACTTATTGTCACGTGCATGTTATCCATTGAAATCACCAACCTTATCAAACAATAAACTTGGTTTTATACAGTTTCTCAAGGTGTCAGACCTGTACTTGAAGGCGGATAACTACTTAAATTCACATCAGGCGCTCCGTTATCTTACCTTGTAGCCTTGAGTCTTAAGACGCCTCTTCACCCTTCAGCAGTATAAAGTAGGATTGACTTCGCGTAACCTGATCAAATGTATCCAAATCAACTCATAGACAACCGTCAGGTCAAAGAACCGGTCTTAAAGTCTTAAATTGAGATTTTCGTCTGCCACAATCTGCGGATATTAACACCCCCGGGTGTCCTGAAGAATTTCCACAGACAAAATACCGAGTATTCTATATTGCAGATATTAATATGGATACATGGACCCCAGTCAGATCATTTTTTCAGGTTTTGTGGACCAGTCACAGCACAAATCTGGTCTGAAAAACACACAGTCATATTGATCCGAGTTCGGACCAAGGTCAGACATAGTGTTCAAATTCAGACTAACGTTTGTCTTGGATCTGATATTGATTTGATGGTATTCAAAAGCAGAGAAATAATATTGGCGTTATAACCGACACTTTGTCTGTGCAATAAAATCAAAAGCGGTAATACGAGGATGTTGTCTCCTGAATGGCACATTGAAACTTGGCTGCTCGAGAAGTTTAGATTTACATGGTTGCACAACGCTTTCCCTGTCAGATATTCGTTGGACTATTGACTTTGTATAATTCTCCAATATTTCATTTGCCACTCACGCAACAAAACGAGAAGAGTATATATTAACTTCTCTCTACTTAACAAGACTAACCTCGATCAATAAGATTGCACCTTGCATGTCTTGAGTACATCATTTTCCCGAATTTACAGTGCAACTCCTTACAGCTCAGTGCACATATATATCTGACAAACTATCTAATAAAAGGATGGCTATTCAATATCGTCTTTTTCATATTTGTTGTTTGTACTTGCTATTATCTAGCAAGCATGTATTTGCAATAAACTCTTTGTAATTTAATGTATAATTCAGCTCTCCAAACAAAGCCTGTGTTTTAACCTACGTCAATCTGCAAAACCTTTGTACAATAAACAGTCCTGACCAAATCGTGTACTCTCGACTACAAATGTACAAAGTCCAAGTCCTTATCTCAGTCACATGAGCCATACAGGTGCAGTCATGGCGGAGGCCGTACTCAGCCAGATTTCGGGCGACTTTCTGGAGTGTACGATCTGCCTGGAGTCCTACAAGGACCCCAAGATCCTGCCGTGTCTTCACACCTTCTGTAAGGCTTGTCTGGAGAAGTTTGTAGCGAAACAAGGTGAGGCGAAGGACAAGTTTCCGTGTCCAACATGTCGGATCCAAACTGTACTTCCGGAAGGCGGTGTCGCCGGGCTCAAAAACAACTTCTTTGTCCTGAGCTTGAGGGACACCGTCGACGCTCACAAGAGTTTGGTTAGCATGGAGGATGACAAAGTGACTTGTGATAACTGTGAAGAACATGTGGCTCATTTCGGCTGTGTTGTCTGTGAAGAGTTTTTGTGTGAAGAATGTGGTAGAGTCCACCGTCGCGGCAAACGTACACGTGACCACGAAGTCATCGGAGTGGCGGAACTAAAAGAGCAGCTGATCGCCAAGACATCATCGGTCAAGTCAAGATCACTGCCGATGTGTCCAAAACATGAAGACGAGAAGCTGAAGTTCTACTGTGAGACGTGCCAGCATCCCATCTGCCGAGACTGCACGGTACTGCAGCACAAAGACCACAAGTACGGCTTGCTGGCAGACGTTGTGAGTGCTGTTAGGGCAAAGATCAAAGGTAACCTGGAAGCTGCCAGGCCGAAAATTGAAGAATACCGAGACGCTGCAAGTGTCACAGCCAAGAAACAAACAGAACTGGACACCAGGAGTAAGAAAGTTGCAGACGACATCGATGCAGCTGCGGAGGAAGAGATCAAGTACTACACTGGCCTTGTCAGACGCAAACAGACTGAACTGAAAGAAAAGTTAGCGGCCGTCACAGCAGCCCGTTCCAAGCAGCTCTCTGCTACAGCAGACAGTGTTGAGAGCACCTTAGGCTGTCTGTCCAGCACAGTGGACTTCTCACGGAAAGTCGTGGAGCATGGCAGTGACTTTGACGTCATGAACGTGTACTGTGACGTCACGGCCCGGCTCGAGTCTCTGCTGAAAGGTCCAACCCCGGACATTCCTGACGTCATCAGTTACGTCAGGTTTCAACCTAGCAGGGAAAGAAAAGAAACAGAAATCATCCTTGGCGACTTTGTCGGTACGTTCTGCAGTTAAATTGATATAACCTACGAGGTTCTGAAGCTATTCTCTATTGCTGAATATCCTGCCATAAAATCATAAGTTAAGAATATATAGGCATAATTTTATTACATTTGTTAATATACACCATTATTTAGGAAGCGTTTCACAAAAGGTATTTTTACAAGCAGAAGGTATTTCTTATACATTATAAACACGTGTTTATTGATGAGTATGCAGCTTCTCTGTATGTTATGCGTATAGCTACGAAGTTATAATGTTTGCTTAGGGACATTTCAGATGCTTGTGCGGATATTATCTATTGAATCCCTATAAATTTATTATTTTAAAAAATACTTTTTTTTTTTGCCAGATCACCAGCCCTGCTTTAAGTTGACAACCCTGGGCGGCAGCGGCCGTCTGGGCCCCACTACCCTGGGTACCCACTACAGGGGACAGGACCATGAACACCTGGTGACGCTACATGACGGGATACAACACTTCACTGTACCGCGGACGGGAACGTACAGCATAGAGGCAGCAGGTGGGGAATTTTTGTGAACTTTGATAGAAGATATACCAGATACGTTGTGTGGCTCTCTTCATTGAACATTTTGTAGATTTAAAGATATTTTGTGTTTTACTCCAACAAAAGCACATGTTGTTCGCTTCATAAAGCGACATTACTGCGTTATTATATCAATGCACAGTAACTTACCTCAACAACAATAATGTTGATTGTCTCTGTTGTTTATCATCTTCTTACCTTAGTACTGCAAGTGCCTTACATGTTTGACTGACAGGTGCTGCTGCAGGGTGGGGTCTATACAACCCGAAGTCCGCCCGAGGACGGGGTGCCATACTGAGGGGAACATTCAACCTCAAACGAGGTGCGATATTTGAAAGTTAAGGAAGCACTTGTAGAACCTTCTGATATGTAACTACAAATAAAGGACAATTGTATAAGTTACTAAAATTTCTCAGCTTAAGCATCTCATTAGTATCATACAAATATGTGTATGATAATTGTTTGAAGAGTATTTGTAAAACAATAACTTTCTCCCACACTAAAGGAAGATTTTTAATGATTATTACTAAGTACAGATTTTAATTTTCTACATACCAGGTGAAACTCTGAAGATCCTGGTGGGACAAGAAGGCGCTGAGAACAGGTCTAACTGGGGCGTAGGAGGAGGGGGCGGTACGTTTGTCACCAGGGGAGACAACACACCACTCATTATCGCCGGAGGTGGGGGAGGGGCGGGGGTTAACCTACTGACTCATAACCCCCTGTGTGACGGGAATGTGTCCACTACTGGTAACAAGAGTTATAAGAGTTATACTAGTACTTATAGAGGAACTGGTTGTAGTGGAGGATCTAACGGACAGGGGGCGACAGAATGGCAGGATGGTGGCATGGGAGGGGGAGGGGGAGGGCTGCTGACGGATGGAGGGAGTTCTAAACAGTTTAGAGGCGACAGTTGTAAGAATGGTGGGGAAGGTGGGAAGGCGTTTGTGAATGGCGGGGTTGGAGGGCGTGGGGTATATCTTAATGCTGATGGTGGGTTTGGTGGAGGGGGAGGGAGTCATGGGTTCGGTTGTGGAGGAGGTGGGGGAGGGGGGTACTCAGGGGGAGGCAGGGGCGAGAATCGTAACCCAAATGGCGGAGGAGGAGGCGGTTCGTTTAACTCCGGTTCTGACACGAGCGGTCAGGATGGGGCAAACGACGGACCCGGGTATGTGGTCATCACCAGACAGGCGTAGGAACGTAACCAACGAACAATACTCTCAAACTTTCAGTCGCCATTTAAAGAGGACGTTTAAATCAACATGATATCAAAGCAATGCACAGGAATCCAGAAATTATAACAAACACTGCACATAGAACAGTTTTTTTTACAGATAGATAGACACTGGGGACGCCAAAATTAATCTTGATTTTTCTATTGGTTTACAGCGTTGAAAATTGCAGTGCCTTAACGTTTGGGTTTCTATATATAGATAATTGCAAAAAAAACGGCTAAATGTAAAATGGACACGCCTGCCCTTGGTGCTTATTTGGATATTTCCATGAAATGTATGTCAGGTTTTGTATTCTACATTAAGATATTATCTGATCAAGCCTGGTCTTTATTGGCTTCAAGGACAAGCCGCCATTAGAGATATTTTCTTGCATACGTATTTCTTTGTAATCTGTGCTTGTAATGACTACCATGTAAATAGTAACGTCATTTGTTGCCTAATTATGTTCACAGATTAAACATCGCCTCTAATGCGTTGATATTTTTCTGTTTACGCACTGCCTTGCAATAACCCGCCAGTAAAAGGCAAATCTTATCATGAAAGTTCATCTGTGTTGGTAGTAATCATAGAAAAACGTTAAACTTTATTCCAACACACTATTTACAGGGATCAAATTTTCAGCGACCACTGTCGCCTTCATCAGGATAATTAATGACCAATCACTTGTAAACCGTAACTCTCGCGAGATCACGTTGTGAAGTGATTGGTCATTAATTATCCTCATGAAGGCGACAGTGGTCGCTGAAAATTTGATCCCTGTAAATAGTGCGTTGGAATAAAGTTTAACGTTTTACTATAAAAGGCAAATCTGTTCTTACACGAGATGCAATGACAGAAATATATACCAATAATTATGCTATTGTTATATTGTTACCAGTACATCTATCATGCAATGCTTACACATGGGATTATGGATTTTCTTCCTCGTCACACGGCACTTATTGTCACGTGCATGTTATCCGTTGAAATCACCAACCTTATCAAACAATAAACTTGTTTTATACAGTTTCTCAAGATGTCAGACTTGTACTTGAAGCCGGATAACTACTTAAATTCACATCAGTCGCTCCGTTATCTTACCTTTAGCCTTGAGTCTTAAGATGCCCCTTCACCCTTCAGCAGTATAAAGTAGGATTGACTTCGCGTAACCTGATCAATTAATCTATCCAAATCCACTTACAGACAACCATCGCGGTCAAAGAACCTGTCTTTAAGTCTTAAATTGAGATTTTCCTCTGCAACAATCTGCGGATATTAACCACCCCTGGGTGTCGTGAAGAATTTCCTCAGACGAAATGCCGAGTGTTCTATTCTGCAGGTATTGTGTTATGAAGAATATATGGCCCCCGTTCCGGTAAATTTTCCGGACCAGTCAGAGTACAAATCTGATCTGGAAACACACAGTCGTTCGTATTGACACGAGTTTGGGTCAAGGTCAAACAAATGAACAGTGTACTTGGAGACTTGTTTGTGTTTTGATCTGTTTATTTGGTGAAATTCGAAAACAGAAATATTGGTGTTTTACCTTACACTTATCAGTGCAATAGAATCAAAAGTGGCATTAATATGAGGACGTTGTCTCCTGAATGGCTGCTGGAAAGTTTAGGTTTACATTGTTGCATTTGCATAACATTTTCCCTGTCAGATACTCTATGGACTATATTTTGTTACTGTATTGCGCTTAACGTTTGCTGGGAGGGGGTGACACCTGTCCACCTTATAAAACATAACTGTTGTAGCATAAGCTGCCGCGACCAATAACGTACTCTCTGCTCAAACATATACTTTGTCCAACTCCTTACAGCTCCGCGCAAATATTTATCTGGAAATATGTCATAGAATTGGCTATTCAAATTGCTATTAGATGTATACTTATTACGGAAAAACGTTTATTGATACAGGCCAACTCTTCAAACAAAGCACATGTTTTAACCGACCAAATTATGTACTCTCGACTGCAAATGTACAAAGTCCAAGTCCTTATCTGAGTCACATGAGTCGTACAGGTGCCGTTATGGCGGCGGCCGCACTCAGCAGCCAGATTGCGGCCGACTTTCTGGAGTGTAAGATCTGTCTGCAGCCCTTCAAGGAACCCAAAACCTTGCCGTGTCTTCACACTTTCTGTAAGGTCTGTCTGCAGAACGTTGTACTGCAGCAAGATGAACTAGACTCGACGGAGTCCAGTGACGATGATGAAGAAGAAACCAACAAGTTTCCGTGTCCAATATGTCGGACTGAAACTGTACTTCCGGAGGGCGGTGTCGCCGGACTCAAAGACAACTTCTTTGTCCTGAGCTTGAGGGACACCGTTGAATCTCACAGAACTCTTGCTAGTAATGACAAAGTGCCTTGTGATGTCTGTGAAGAAGTGGCTAGCTGCGGCTGTGCTGTGTGTGAAGAGTTCTTTTGTGAGGACTGCGCCCGAACTCACCGTCGTGCTAAACGTACACGCGACCATGAAGTCATCGGAGTGGCGGAACTAAGCCAGCAGCTGATCTCCAATGCGCGTTTAGTCAAGTCGACATCACTGCCGATATGTCCAAAACATGAAGACGAGAAGCTGAAGTTCTACTGTGAGACGTGCCAGAGTCCCATCTGCCGAGACTGTACGGTACTGCAGCACAAAGACCACAAGTATGCCTACCTGGCAGACGTTGTGAGTGACGTCAGGGCAAAGATCAAAGACAAACTCGCAACTTCCAGGCCGAAAATCGTGGAATACAGAGACATTACAGAGTTCGCAGCCATGAAACAAGCAGAACTGGACACCAGGAGTAAGAAAGCCGCAGACGACATCGATGCAGCTGCGGAGGAAGAGATCAAGTACTACACTGGCCTTGTCAGACGCAAGCAGACTGAACTGAAAGAAGAGTTAGCGGCCGTCACAGCAGCCCGTTCCAAGCAGCTCTCTGCTACAGCAGACAGTGTTGAGAGCACCTTAGGCTGTCTGTCCAGCACAGTGGACTTCTCACATAAAGTCGTGGAGTATGGCAGTGACTTTGACGTCATGAACGTGTACTCTGACGTCACGGCCCGGCTCGAGTCTCTGCTGAAAAGTCCAACCCCGGACATTCCTGACGACATCAGTTACGTCAGGTTTAAGCCTAGGAAGGAACGGAAAAAAGGGGAAATCATCTTTGGCGACATTGTCGGTAGGTTTTAGCATTAGAACTAACTTGTTAAGTTGTAAAACTATGTAGTCAAGTACTACTTGGTCACGATATTGATCTTGTATTCTATGTTAATTACACAAAAGGTTCAAAATGATGACCCATTACTTTTGCCAGATCACCCTGGTACTCCGAAGCAAGGAAGAAACCAGACCACGGCCACGTTCACAGCTGTGCAACCCGGAGCCAGACGCCGTCTTGGCCCCACCACTCGATGTAAGTAACTAACGTAAGTAACTAACGTTAGATAGTATGTAGTCAGCTCTTTTGAATATAACGTTATGGAGTAAATTGATTTCCTGGACAAAAGATGTATCATTAACCTTCATTTTTTCAGATTGTTCCTTCCGAACTGCCACGTTGACCACCCTGGGTGCCAGCGGCCGTCTGGGCCCCACTACCCTGGGTACCCACTACAGGGGACAGGACCATGAACACCTGCTGACGCTACATGCCGGGATACAACACTTCACTGTACCGGGGACGGGAACGTACAACATAGAGGCAGCGGGTAGGGACTTTTTGTACACTTATGTAGAAGATGTAACTGATAGTTCATTTAATCTAGGAAGATACAGAAACGTTTCACTCCTACATAATCACTTCTTCGCTTGTAAAGGGACGTTGCCTTAGTTGTATTGTAGCATTTATGAACAATCAAGTAAAACTTTCCCTTTTAACACGTGGGATTTCTATTTAATTACCCCAGTTATTAGTTTGCCTCTTCTGATCCCTGAACTCAAAGTGACTGACATGTTTGATTGACAGGTGCTGCTGCAGGGTGGGGTGAGTACAACCCGAAGTCCACCCGAGGACGGGGTGCCGTACTGAGGGGAACATTTAACCTCAAACAAGGTGCGACATTTTCAAGCTGCGGAAGCACTTGTAGAACCTTTAGTTTCAAACAGCATACCGGATATAACTTAATAAATCTTTCAACTTGTGCATTGAATTAGTTTTAAGTTAAAAAGAAATAAACGTACGAACAAAATACTAATTAAAGACTTTCTACACACCAGGTGAAACTCTGAAGATCCTGGTGGGACAAGAAGGTGCTGGGAACGTGGTGGTTAGGAGTGTAGGAGGAGGGGGCGGTACATTTGTCACCAGGGGAGACAACACGCCACTTATTATCGCCGGGGGTGGGGAGGGGCAGGGGTGGGACTAAAGACCCATAAACCCCTGTGTGACGGGACTGTGTCCACTACTGGTAACAAGGCTTATGGAGGAATTGGTTGTAGTGGAGGATCTAACGGACAGGGGGCGACAGAATGGAAGTATAACTGTATGGGTGGTGGAGGGGGAGGGCTGCTGACGGATGGAGGGAGTTCTAAACAGTTTGGAGGCGACAGTTGTCAGCACGGTGGGGAAGGTGGAAAGGCGTTTGTGAATGGCGGGGTTGGAGGGCGCGGGGTATATCATAATGCTAATGGTGGGTTTGGTGGAGGGGGAGGGAGTCATGGGGATGGTGGTGGAAGAGGTGGGGGAGGGGGGTACTCAGGGGGAGGCAGGGGAGAGAGCACCTTCCCAAATGGCGGAGGAGGAGGCGGTTCGTTTAACTCCGGTACTGACACGAGCGGTCAGGATGGGGCAAACAACGGACCCGGGTATGTGGTCATCACCAGACAGGCGTAGGAACGCAACATACTCTTAAACTTTCAGTTGCCATTTCAAAAGGACGTTTGAATCAACATGATATCAAAGCCATGCTCAGGAATCCAGAAATTTTAAACGCTGCACATAGAACAGTTCTTTAGAGATAGATTGACGATGTTTCTATTGTTTAACATCGTGGAAAATTGCAGTGCTTTGTTTGGTACAAGTATATGTAATCGGAACTAAACCCTGTGTGTACGATTCAAACACACTGTCACGACAAAAGATTTTGACCTGGCGATCGCATTCTTAGAGATCGATATGTAAACAATCAAATTGAAACATGTGAGCATACACTTGGATCCTTGATGAGAACCTTACAGAAAAATATGCTGAAAATGCCACAATTATACATCATTGTCACATTAAATGTAAACGCTTGTCCATTGTAGTATATATAATGTTCAATCTTGTAAAGTAATAGGTTCATGTTTACCACAGAGTCTGAGCAATTATCTATCTTACAGTTCCATCCATAAGAACATCGAGATTACACCCGGGACAATATCGCATGGTTAATGGAGTAAATATTGCTCTGATAATTACCTCCGGGATAGATCGTGGCTCTCCCCGCCTCCCGGCTTAACTTTCCGTTTACCTGATATTTCCTTACGGACAAAAGATCAATATTCCAAGGACGGAGCAAGTGGTGTTATAAAGCAGGCTGGCTGCAGCGGGCTCATATATATACATGTCTGTAACGGAAGGCTGAACGGCAACGCCGGGATTGCCTACTTAAGGTTAGCTTCACCAAGTGTCGCATCCTCTTGTTAAGGTGTCTGTATCGGTATAGCCGGTATAACCGCCCTTCGGCGTAACACACCAGCTTCTGTATCTGTATAGCCGGTATAACCGCCCTTTGGCGTAACGCACCAGCTTCTGTATCTGGTAGAACTGCCCTCGGCGTAACACACCAGCTTTGCAGGCACGCGGCGCGGCGGCAGCTGGCTATATTACACCGAACGACCAAAAGGAGATAGCAGAATCGAGTACAGAAAGGTACGGACACCGTTTTGAATGGTTTGAACCCGTGTACTGGAAAAGACAGGTAGGTTCTCGCAGACTCAGAAGAACCAGAGGACAGACGTTAGAATTTGATTAGGACTGTTATACCGTGAAGAACAGGAAAGCAGCAACAGACCTGAGTCGAGTGTGACAGGTGAGGCGATCTGATTATATTTCTATGCAGTCAAAGACGACTATCACTAATGAAGAATTATATAGTACTAGTGGTAGGTCTTGACCGATGACAGGAAGGCATCGTGTTTGAGTCTCAAACATCCATGTCTATTGAACATTCGGGACTGTTTAAAGCAATTTAATATTATATTCATAATACAGATTCTTAAGGTCAGGTAGCGGCTCAACATATTCTTTCTTCCCGTTATGTACTATTGAAAGCCCTCGCTACTATATGACGCGTTGATAACTGATATGTTCCGGCCCGTGCCTGGCATGCTAAAGATCATTTATTCCAAGTGGTGAGATGGTAAGCTTGTAACTGTAAGGGATATTCCAGATTGTCTCTGCCTAGCGCTTGTCTTCCAATTCTTGTATTCATCCGATTTTGCTATGGCAACGTATGTGATGTATGCTGTATGTAGGGTACTGTCATTATTGTGTGACTTGATTCCCCAATTTGTCATTCACGTAGCTTGTGAGTCATCTAGTAGGCACACAGAGAGAGTAGCGTTGCTCTTTAAATGTCAAGATGAGGGTGTTTTTGCCTTGAAAGAGAAGTATTGATCTAGAGTAAGGATTGGATTCCTACCCTAGCCAGTTATTCGCGGTGTCCAACGATCAAATCGAAGGCTTTGAATGCATGCACATAGTATTGAGAAATGAAAGTACACGGCATACTGTATAGTAGACATTTCCTGTTATCAATAGACCTCTGATGTACATGTAACACAACTACTGGAACATGTCAATATATTTCAATTTGACGTATGGAATCAATTGGATCACATTAAGGAGAGAATTTGGCAGAATTTCCTTTAAGTCATTCGGAATAAAAAAACAAGGCGTACATTTCACAGAGTCACATTATTCACATTTTTCTAAACCCCCGCCGGCCTTCCTGGCCCCGCTCGTAAACCACACATAACGATCTCAACAGCAATATTGCCGAAGCTGGTGAGGCAGCAGATATGTATGAGCCTTGAACCGTACATGTACAGCGGTATTGTCAGGTCAACCAGTAATGTGAGATCTAGTTAAGGCTGGAATTCAATATTCGCTCGCAAGGGGCCAACTGAGGGATACTCATGCGTTTTTATAAACTATCCATCTTGTCAAGTTTAGTTACAGTTTGCATGCAAAACATCAGCAATGGGAGGTAGAGGCACTCTTTTGATGATGTCAAATGCCTTTGTCAAGTGTACAAATGCTCGACACGGTTAGGGAGAACATTTAATCATACATAACACCTTCCAATCCATAACCAGATATGACTTGACTTTTCTGCAGCCCAATATGTCTGTTATCTATGCGTCTGGGCCAGTCTCCAAATTCTCTTGAGGAGTTATTACCGGCATGTATGGCCAAAATCTATCAGATTGGAGCTCACGGGCTAGTCCGTAATAGTCTGGCTAGTTGGGACGGTTTATCTGTATGACAGCCAAATCAATGATAGAGAATGATACAGATAGATTGTGTACATTGTGCTGGCAAAGTTAACTTTGCTAGCTCTGTAAATGGTAGCTACGGTCAAACTCAACAACAAACATACCGTTTTGCACTAAGATAAATCGTATCTGAAGACCTGTAACAGACTGCTATTGGCGTTCTCCAGCATTCTATCTTATCATTCAAGACACGACGGTATTTATGGTCAATTTACATGTTTACCACTTTCGAATCGAAAAAAGAAGACTAGCAGTGATCAATTAACATGGTTTGACTTTTGCTCATGAAGTATGTAGAGTGAAAAGCTACGGTTCGATTTTGGGCGGCTTCTAAGGATCCATCAGTCAAGTGATCGACTAACTTCTCATTAGCCATTCCGACAACTCGTATCCAGGGCTTAGCGGATTATCCAAGATGGTTGGTGGAGTCAGAACCTGACCAATCATTACACGCCGTCATACATGGAGATACATGGTCCAGCCAGCTCAGCTAAACCAGGAGGATCTGTTATAATTGTGTAGATCATCGGCTTTGCTGGATATGAATTTATTTGTTGATGAGACAACCCAATCTTCACATTCTTCATGCAAAATTAAAACAGATTTACTTTCTTTATGGCAATTTAAATCTCTATAACTGTAATGGAAGTGCTAAGAAACAAACTCAGTCCTTTGACCGTTCTCAAGTTAAAATGATCGTACGTCACGTGGAAGTGTCAAAGGTGACATGCAGTCCGTAGCGGCCCCCGTCTCGGTTGACGGATGATCGAAGAAAAGCTTGTTGGTAAGCACTTAACTTTTGTGAATGCTTATAGAGGTTCCAATCTTCATAATGCTATTTACCTTTACGGGTGAAGTTTCATTGGAATAGATCATTTTCTCACTTCTCGCACATTCATGCCATTGCCTAAAGACCATTCACCCCTCAGAAGTCATGATGACCATGGTGGTAAATAGGATCTGTAGGTCTCAGTTGGGACAGAGTCGGAATCGATTCGTATTTCATTTGCGATGATCCTGCCTTATTTGCACGGAGAGGGTGCAAGAGCGCATTGATTTTCACCGTAGCAGTAGAACCAAAAACGACAGAACTTCTCTTGATGTACATGGGTGCCAAGTGGGTGCCAATGCTTGTTGATGCCGCTGCAAAATCTCTTATGAGAATCAGAATGCCAGATTCGTCATAGTTGGAAAACTTTCCTCCCTTTCTGATTTAATTATTCGCTGCTACATACACCATTTTGGGAATTAAGTCTAGACATAAGGCACACAGAAGCCTGTTGATGTCGGTGAACATCTCTGGTGAGGCTTAAAACTGCAGATGAGCAAGTATTCATGTTCCCTAGTGTGATGTTTGGTGGTAGATCCCGGCAACTGTTCTAACGCTCACGTTGTATACCTGTTAAAGGTTTAAACCAGCAGTACCGTAATGCCACAGTAGGTTCTCGTCAAATTACGCGGCAACCCGGAGCTGTGATAAGGACACATACAGACTGATTTATCGTCACGTTAATCGCGAAAAGAGGAATATTCGTCAAACGGTTAGTATAATAGACCAGGAAGAGGCAATCATAGATGCACCCGCAGGTTTTTATCGCTCAAGTACGAGCACATTCGTTTCCGCCGATGAAACATAATTGTCAGGAAATTCTTATGGCTTCGTTAGGAGTGACTTCTATGGCTTTTATTATCGCGGACATAAAAGTAAAAAAAGTCTGCAACTTTTTGAAAGTCTACTTCTTTTGTGAGGCTGGCAAAGACAATGCATCAAGGAACGGATAGCCTATCTATGTTAAACATGCCCCAAAGCACCGTCAATGCTAGTGGGTGCATGCACCACTGGATCAGAACATTACTTGTATTCATCGGAAGTGTGCCGCTGTCCATCGGAAACATAGCTTCTCTGATTATGTGATTTTACGATGATATAAATCTATTTATATCACCGGCTCAACGGCTATCAAAACGCTGGACATAAATGAACGATAAATGTTTGCTATATTTGATGTGATAGTGATATCACAGAGTGGTGATACTGATATATGGAGAACATTCAGGGGGACAAGGGGTTATTGATTCATGAACAATACTTAAGATGTTTATTCCACAAAGACTGAAGATCGAAGATTTCTTTGATTTTCCCCTCAAGAAAGTTTGTGACAAATATCAGTAGATGAAATCCTACTTCCAGAAAATTCTACTCACGTCACACGCGAAACATTGTTTCAGGAGATAAGTCTGTCTAATTTGTCAGACTGCCGACGGTAGAGTTTATAGGCGTGACGTTCATTTTCTGTGCGTAAATGTTCTATCAGGATCTCAGAGCCCTGGGGGAGAATTTGACGACAATGG